AGGACAGAGACAAACAAGGCTGGACTAGCCAGCCCCCGTGGAGAAACCCTAAACTGTCCCCATCTTTTTTTTTTTTCTATATCATCTATATATCACATTGTGTGCTCACCACCCAGAGTCAGTTCTCCTGTCCTCACCTTGACCCCTAACTCACTCTGACCTTGAGGTAGTTTCTTGTGCTCTCTACACCTGCTTCCCCATCCATACAATGAGCATGCTGCCTGGCACATAGTCAATTCTTAGCAAATAATTTGTTAACTGAATGAATGAGAGGATTGAGCTGGAGTCTTCCTTACTCTGTTTTTACCCGCAGCATCCTAACGATGGCAGAGTGCAGCCCCTGGGCCCCTCCATCTGGATGTCAGTCCATCTGCACTAATTACCAGGTGTTCAGACTTGGCCAACCCAGCTCTCAACACCCTGTTTTCCTCCCCATAATAGCATCTACCTCATAGAGTTGTTCTGAGGTTTAAATGGAGGGACGATATCATTTATCATCCAAATTGGGACCATTTTGAGGGTGATCGGGGCACTCTTCATGCTCAGACAGCAGGACTGTCCCGGGCAAAGCAGGACGTAGGGTGACAGTGAGGGTTCAATGAAGCGGCGCCTGATCCTAGCAGGCGTTCCACATACGCAGCTCTTCCTGTGGTGTTCAGCCAGGTAGAAAGCGGAAGGCCAAAACATAAAGCAGCTCACAGGGGCTGCTCAGCAACCCCTCCCCACCCCTCTGAACCTTGGAGGTCCCACAGAACTCTGCAAAGGACTTTGAAAACCGCGGACTATGGGTTATGGGTTATGATTGCCTGACCTGCTGCCACTCTCCCCAGGGTCACCAGGTGACAGCGCAGACCTCCCCCCACCCCCATGTGGAGCTGTCTTATCCTGATTCCGAATTTCCCATCACCCTTTGAGAAGGATACAGAATAAAATAGATCAGCGGCCCCCACGGGCCGTAAGGGCTGTGGATGTCTCTTTCCCCATCCCCCATTTGCATATGGTATGCTTAGATGCTCAGGGGTGGAATGGACCCCCTTACATCTCCCTGAGAAGAGTTCCTACCACGTGATTGGTAGAGAAACTGAGTCAGTGTGCCTTGTGATCTGCCTCAGATAGCACAGCAGCTGGGGGCAGGGGTTCCTTCCAGAACTCTCCCCCCACTTCTTGCCCCAGAGACAGGGAAGGAACCCCTAGGTGGTGACAATGTAGAGAAATTTGGTGGGTTCTCTCCTCAGCCTAGGTCATCAGTGTGTTAGGAAGGGGTCCAACGTGCGAGATGGGATACATAGCAACGTGTGTGTGGGGGTGGGGGCGCCGGGCTGGGGGAAACTGGCGACCTAGAGGATTAAGGGGCCAGAGGGCTGGGTGCTGGCAGGATTAAAGTCCCTCAGTGCCTCTCGCCGCTCTTTTCAAGGCCCAGGCAGGTGGGCGGGAGCTGAGGGAGGGACAGCCCCTCGCTGTGAGCCTCCTCTCTGCCGCCAGCATCCTCCGCCCAGCCTGAACGTGGACTTGGCCTGCCCCCCCCTCTCCACGGCGCTGGGCCCTATTCCGGAGGCAGCTGCGAGGCTGCGCCCGGCTCTTGGCTCCCCGGTGGGCTCCTGCCTGCGGCCCATTCACAGCCTCATTCCTCTGGCTGCCCTGCCACGCTCATACCAACCCCAGTCAGGCTGCCTCCAACTCACCCAGCCCAGACTTCATCCTGGAGCGCCCCACAGCCAAAAGTGGGTGAATCCAGGGCATGGGGCTCCCTGGGATAGGGAGCTTCCGGGCCTTCAGGGCATTATTAACTAGGAAATTGCCCTGGTAGAGTGTTTCCCCCAAAGCGCCCAGCTCCGTTACTGGTATGATCTCATCCCCCACGGCTGGGCTTGAAGGAAGTGTGCCCTAAAGGGTCAGCCAACCCTATGACAAGGGTGCCTTCTGCTTTGCTGTGAATGAGGCAGTTGGAGCTGGGCACTGAGTCCGGGTGACCCTGGGTCCTGGAGAGCGCTGCTCTGGGTTTGCCTTGACCCACCACACCCCGAGGGGACACTCCCCCGCTTGACAGACGAGGTGATTACGGCTCCAGATGGTTACCCTAAATTACACAAACTGGTTAGCGGCAGAGACGAGACTTTACCTTGCTCCTTGCAGCCTCCCTCATTAGCTCTCAGCTTCCTTCCGGAGCACAGGGACCTACCTCTCTCCCTCCTCTGCACACTTTCTCTCTCGAGCTCTCTCTGTCTCTTTCTCCCTTTGTCTCCCTCTCTGCCTCCCGCCTACCCTGTGCCCCATGCCTACTGTCAGCCTCCGCTCTCGCCTGCGTCATCCCAGATGTTGGGGGTGGGGTGGGGTTGGAAGGTGTCCTGTATGTGTTTGTGGAGGCCAGACAGCCGGCCCTGTCCCTGCCTCTCCCTCCCCGCTAGTCACCCTCCTTTTATTCCCGAGGCCTCATTATTAGGGTAGCGATGACCTCCATTGTCTGGCCTGTCTGGCCCTGGCAAGAAAGGTAGAGTTTTGGCAGAGAAGGGAGGCTCGGCCTGCTTCCAGCTCACTCTCTGCAGTCTGGAGCCTGTAATGTGCTTGGGGCAGGGCTGGCAGGCCCTGGTGGGGGTTGGGGGCTTGGGGAGCCACAGGGCAGCCCCTGTCACTAGGACAACAGCAGGGAGCCCTGGAGGGGGAGGGGGGACAGGGGAGCAGGTGGTTCTTTGTCTGGAGCTGAAATGAGGGAGAGGGGCCCTTGCCTGATCCCAGCCCCTCCACCTCACTGCCCCTGAGAGGGGATTTGTATCTCTGCTCCCAGCAAATACACGCAAGGCCATTGGGCGTCCTCCTCCTGGGCTGAGGCAGGAGAGACTCCATGCTGTGCAACAGACCACTGCCCCTCTGCAGTGCTCATGGGGGTGGGAGAGCAGAGGTGGATTTTCCCACGACTCAGGGCTGCCTCTCCATCCCCCATCAGCCCACCCAGCATGAGGGCCATGTGGGACCAGGCCTGGCCAGGGGGCCAGACCGGGGAGCCCCCATGGCCTATGCCGGCCTATGGGGATGGGAGGAGTCCCAAGCACCCCCGGCCGACATTGCCGCTTTCTCTCTCCAGCCTTCACTTCCCTATCTGAGCAGTAAGGAGGTCAGAGCTGTTCTGGTTTGAGGTTCCTTCCTGCTTTAAAAATCTCTCTTTTGAGTGGGCCTGTGAGACTCCTAGAGCCCACTCCTCTCCTGGGTCAGCACTCACCTGTTTGATCCTTAAAATTTGCTTCTGAGCAGCAGGGCAGCCCTGGGTGCTGAAGGTCAGTGGCAGCCAGTGGTGGAAAGGAGGCTGCGCTAAGCTGTCTGAGTGTGGAGCCCTGGCTGTGCCACCTGCCGGCATGGCACTTAACCTCTCTGTGCTCATTTTCCCATGCCTCTATTTCCTCATCTGTAATATGGGGATAATAACGGACCTACTTCATAAGGCTGTCATAGGAGATCAAAGACATTTATATATATATAACATGTTTAGAACAGTGTTGGGCCTCATGAAAGCACTCAGCAAGTATTAGATATTTTTTTCTTGATGATCTTTAGGGAGCAGGGGTAGGTGAGTTTTCTGAAATGCTCTGTCGTGTGAACCAGATGGGTGTCATCCCTGAAACCTGGTGTTTGGGGTTGAGGGTGGAAGCCCACGCAGGCCTCCTGTAGAGATGTCTTCTCTCATTGAGTTTTGGGGAGAATTGAACTAGCCATGACTTGTGACTCTTGGCTAATATTTCTCCTGGATTGTCTGAGGAATGCCTTCTTGAAATAGTCTTCTTTGGCCTTATCTAGAAAAGAGGGAAACGGGGGTCTGACCTGTTGGGCTCTCTTGTCATGTACACATGGACTTGACATTGTCTGTTTGCCTTTTAAAAATCTCAGCAACCCACTGCAGCGTCTCCAGGACGCATGAGCTCTGGTGGGGAAGCATTTGTGAGCAGGAAAGCTCTCAGCGTCCACAAGAATGATTAGTGTCATTTCCTAGCAGGTGTGTGCTGTCGGGGGACATTGGGTGGGTTCTGTGAGGGAAGAAGGGGCATGGAAGAGGGGCAGAAAGATTATGGGCTTTTCCATGAGATGCATAAGATTCCTTTCTAACTGAACCAATGAGACTTTCCTTGGAAAATAGCACCTGTCTATTCATCCAAGCATCCACTATTTATTTATCCAACAAATCTTTACTGAACGCCCATCATGTGGGGCTCTGTGCTCAGCACCGGAGATCAGCTGTGATTTCGCCTTCAAGGAAGCAGCAGTCCAGTGAGGAGGTGAAAGGAGACAATTAGAAAGCAGTGCGGGGTGGGGGTTGGAGGTCTGTCCAAGGTGCAGACCGTGGCTGAGGAGACACCCGAGGAGCTAGGAAGGGTGAGCTGGGGTCTCCCAGGGTGACTGAGGGAAAAAGGAATCCTAAGCAGAGGGACCCACATGTGCAGAGCTGCCGAGGGCAAAAGGGCAGTGTCAACAGACAAAACTCAGAGCACAGGGCCTTTGGGGAGCCCTGCCCCGCCCTGTGTGCCGGGGTGTGGGGTGCATGTGGGTGTGGGCATCGAGGGGGCCAGCTGCCAGATGTGGAAGGACTTGCAAGGCTGTTTCCTGCTCCCTGGGCCTGAGCATTCCCCACTGGATGTGCCAGCCCAGCCCCGGACGTTCCACTCATCACCGTTTCATTTCCGCTCTCCTCATGTCTGGGGTCAGGAGTAAGGGCAGAGAGGAGAGAGTTTAACCACTTTGAGCCTCAGTTTCCTTATCCACACACCAGGCACAAGATGGTTGAATTGGGTGAAGGTCTCCAGGGCCTTCTAAGATTTTAAGTGGTTGTTCATCCCCTATTTGGATGTTTGCCATGGGGGCCTTGGAAACATCCCAAACACCACCGGGGCCTCTGTTGGCAGAGGGCTGGGGACAGACAGGAACTGGGGAGTGGTGATGGAGATGGGGCCCTTGCGGCAGTGCTGGGAGGCGGGCAGAGCCCCGCTGACCCCTGCTTGTCTGTGCTTCTCCCTCAGTTTGACCCTGGGAACACGGGCTACATCAGCACAGGCAAGTTCCGCAGCCTCCTGGAGAGCCACAGCTCCAAGCTGGACCCGCACAAACGAGAGGTGCTCCTGGCTCTCGCTGACAGCCACGCGGATGGGCAGGTCTGCTACCAGGATTTTGTCAACCTGGTGAGCATTCTGGGGCCTGTGTCGCCGGGAGGGGCCTGTGTGGGGCTTGTGGCTGATCGGACCCTTTTGGACAAGTAAAGGGATCTGTTGGCCCACAGCACTGAAAAAGTCCAGGCTTCAGCAAATGAAAGGACATCACCAAGGATCCGTCTTCTCTTTGTATCTCAGTCCTGCCCTCTGCAGTGCCGGCCCATACCGAGAGAAGCCCCTGGCCATTCCAGACCCTCCCACTATTGCAGCAAGGTGGCTGCAGCTGTTCCAGCCCTCACACCCTCAGGCCTCACCGTGCAGGGGAAGAGGGGGATTCTTATTGTGGTAGCTTCCGCACAAGGCCTGGGATTTCCTCCCTCCCATTGGCCTAGATTGGGTCAGTAGGATGTGTTGATTGACTCAAACCAATCAGTGCCCACCCCTGGAGCTGGGAGTGGGGTCAGTTCCACCAAAACAAAGGGCTGCGAGTGGGAGATGGGAGGTTATTGGAGTGGGGGGGGGGGCACATGGGTTAAGGCCAGAGCTTATCAGACCTGCTGGCTGATGTCTGGGTTGTTGGAGGGGCTGGAGTTCGGAGGCCAGCAAATCCTGCCCAGTGGTCTGAGGTCCTAGCGTAGAGACTTCCTCCTCACTGAGGGTTACTGCTGTGTTGTTACGGGGTTACTGTGGTAGCCTTGGAATGGGGTTCAGTGGAGTTAAGCAGGAAGCCTTTTATCTACCATGGGATGTCTGGGGTATCCGTAGAAGCTGTGTGAACTAACAAGATGGCTACAAGGCTGGAAGTCTGCACTTGGTTTCCCTGTTGGTGAAATGCAGTCACCTATCTTCTTGTTGCCCATGGAGGGGGCGCGAGTGGAAATGACTAGTGTGACGTTCCCTGGGCTCCTAGAATTCAAAGGCGTCAGTGATGGGGAAGCCAGTACCACTCGTACCTGTCATCGTGCCAGCCAAGCTCTCTGATGTGGATGCCCAGACTTTGGAGTTGTTTTAATTGCCTCTTGGCTGAGGGCCTGCCTTTGCCCAGAGGTTAGCGTGAGTGCATGGAGCAGCTGTAGGGCTTTAGGGGTAAAAGATTCTACCTCTGTTCAGAGTAGACCCAGGGAGCAGACCTCTGAGACGGCAGGGGACGGAGCTGAGCTAAGCTGGGGAACGGTGGGGGTGAGGGGGGCAGCCGAGAAGCATGGGATGGGCGATGGAGGTGAGCCCTGTGACTTGGAGCCTAGCGGTGCCACCAAACACCCGGCCACAGGTTTGACCCTACGTAGGCTCATCCACAGCCCCAGGGCCAGCATGTTTGCTGCATGTCCTGCTCAGTCTCAGGGCAAGGTGAGGGCATGGCTGGGCTCATAGATGCTTCTCTCCAGCGAGGGGTTTGTGGGGTCCTCTGTGTGAACTCACAACTGCAGGTTACTTGTTACTGTCGGAATTTCTCTATCCAAGCTCTAAGCTGGAGCGGCCAGCCCTAACCTGGATTCTTGTGAGCAGAGCTGCCCTGAGACCGGGGCCAAGAAGCATGGGATGGAGACCAGGGCCTAGAGTCAGGTGGACCTGGAACCTGCCCCAGCTCTGCCTTTGCCACTCACTGGGGAAGATCCTCTGAGCCTGGGTTTTCCCATTTGTAACAAGAAGCCAAAGGATCGCCTCTTCAGGGTTGTTGCAAGGATTAAACAAGACGAAGTATTTGAAAGTCTTTGTTGTCTTTAATGATCTTCCACCAGGTAAACTCTGCAATCTTTGGGAGCCCTTCCCCACCCCAACCCAGGCAGGATAAAACCAGCCTCATCCAGAACCCTCACAGTGCTTTGCCAGGCTTCTCTTATAGCACAGACCACATTACATTACAGCTGAGTGGCCAGGGTTGTCATGTACGGGTGTGCAGGTTGTGTACTGTACAAGGATGCCTGGGAGAGGGATGAATGGGGACGGGATCTGGCATGGGCTTTGTTCACCAAGGCCTGGAATGGGCACATTAGATAAGAGGCTTCCTTATCTAATTGGCACAAAAGTGCCAATTATAATACATGGACTCCAGAGTCAGGCAGATCTGATGCTGATTTGCTAACTGTGGGTCCTTGAGAAAACTGCTTACCCTCTCCAAGCTCTGGTCCCCATCTTTATAATGTGGGGATAGTACAATGCACCAGATGCCTAAGATGACACCCTCTTTTGCTGCTGTTTACACATCCGTCTCTCCTTATAAGCTCCATGGTTGCTATTGTGCCCAGCACAGTTCTAGCACATCAAGTGTGCTGGTGAATGGCGAGTGTGTGTGTGCTCACGCTGCTTCTCCTGTACTCGTGCTGAGCCCATCCCCACCACGGGGTTCAGGGCGTTGCCATGGGTGTGTTTGTATGTCTGCCATGCACACCTGAGTGCATGTGCGCACTCGAGGACTGGGAGAGAGGATGTTAAGAGTGGCTACAAAACAACTTCACGCCGTGATCCTGTCTGGGGCTTGCAGTATCCGTGGAGCCCGAAGCCCTTCCTGCATTTACAGAACTCCCGAGCCACTAAGAAGAACCAGACCCAAGCTTTGTAAGCATGAAAGGGATGAGAATAGGGACTCTTTAGAAGGGGTTCATCCAGGAAGGCCTGCTGGAGCTTTAAAGCAGATTTTAAAGATGAGAGACAGCAGAACCCAGGAGGGGGTTCGGGCACTGCAGAGGGAGGCTCCACTGGCCTGGCCTGAACGCAGGTCCTCCCCAGCTGCCTTCCCCCTGACAGGGCTTCGCACCCCTGTGCCTTGGTCTGACTTGGCCTCTCTGGACCCCTGCTTTCAGGCTTAGCCTAATGTCCACTGCTGGGCTCATAGTCCCAGGAATATGTTGATAATCCCCACCCTAGCTACCATGGATAGCCACCCAGGCAGCACTGTGGGCTCTGGTGTTGGGAGGGCATCTCTAGGACATCTCCCCGTTATAAGGGTCTAGAATGTGGTCGTGGAGGGCAGGTAGGAGGGGACGGAGGCCTTGGGAGGCTGGAAGTCAGCAAGGCTGCCTTTGATCTCTGGGAGCCAGGCTATGAGGCAGCCAGGGCTCCACTGAGGATGTGACAGGCTCAGTCCTCACACAGGGCTCTACGACTAGTCCTTGGGCTCACCAAGTGTTAGAGGTCCCTTGAAAGCATCCCTTGAAAGCACTCAGGTGTGGTAACTGTCCACAGGCACAGCTTTGAGTCCTGGTTCTGGGGTCCTCTGTACAAACTCTCCAAGGGCTGCCCCTCTCTCCCCAAGCTAGTGTTTATGAGGACGCTAACTCCTATTCATTCTTCAGTTCTCACTCAGATACCCCCTCCTCCAGGAAGCCCTCCCTGACCACCTGGGGACCTGGTGGGGCTCCTTCTTATGTGTGCTGCAGCAGCCTTCACTCTGAACTACTGGTTACTTATCTGTCTAGATCCCCACTGTATCCCCTGCGTCTGGCAATGTGCCTGACGCTTAGTAGTTTCTCAGGAAATGGTGGTAGATGGATGGATGGAAGGAAGGTATACTGAATATGGATGCAGGCTCAGGAACCTTAATGGGTCTGAACTTGATTTGGTTTCCTCGTGTCGTAGAGTGGGGATAGTCATAGTCCTTATGTAACAGGTAGACTAGTTGTCTCAAATGAACCAACATGTGAAGTGTTTAGAACAACCCCTGACACATAAGAGCTCATTGCATATTGCCTCTCATGAACTATGATAGAAGAAAAGGAAAGGTGGGATTAGGACTGGTGGATCTAAGTACCGTGCTGCCTGGGAAATGGGTCGGGGCTCCCCCGAGACCCCGGTTCTGACCCTGTCCCCCACCCTATTTCCTGTGCAGATGAGCAACAAGCGGTCTAACAGCTTCCGCCAGGCCATCCTGCAGGGGAATCGCAGGCTCTGCAGTAAGGCCCTGCTGGAGGAGAAAGGGCTGAACCTCTCGCAGCGGCTGATCCGCCATGTGGCCTATGAGACGCTGCCCCGGGAGATTGACCGAAAGTGGTACTATGACAGTTACACCTGCTGTCCCCCGCCCTGGTTCATGATCACAGTCACACTGCTGGAGGCAAGGACAGGGGTGGGGAAGGGGCTGCTCAGCCTTGGCAGGGTGGGGTGTGGGCATCGGGGGTGGGGGCGGGGGGCCAAGGGGATATCTGGGATCATGTGGGGAAGGGCAGAGTCTTTTCTACCAAAAGGTGATGGTTGAGGAGCTAATAGCAGTTGTCATTGCAAGTCAGGCCCCGTTACAGGGCATACAGTGTTATAACCCCTGGACACAAAGAGTATTACTTCAAAGATTATTATTTCAAAGATTATTACTTCAAGCAATATTCACTGCAGCAAAATCCCCATATGACCACCATGGCCAAAACAGCAGCAACAAAAACAATGTAATAAGTTCATTGATTTGGGAGATTTAGCCAGGCTCACTCATGAAAATCCATTTGTTTTAGTTCCTCCCAGAGTGAGTAACGTGGACAAGTCATTCGCTCCCTTGAGACTCCACCCTCCACCGGTGAAGCAGGAATACCCAGGCCTGCCCTCCTCCCGTAGGCTTCCTCTTAAGCCAGAGAATGGCCGGTGGTGCTCATGGAACACAAAAGCATCACACAAATATCTATGGTGGGGAATGTTTATGAACAGGCGAATGTGGACTTACTGTCTTTTGAAAGGACATTCTCCCTTTAGGGAATAGTCCGGACCTATTGTTCTAAAAGCCTCCTGCTTATGCAACAGAATCCAAAGGTACCCCTTTCAGAATCTGTCCATGTGTAAGGAACTCAATTCTTTGGGATGTCCAGCCCAAGAACCTGTCTCTCCCCGCCCCCCGCCCCCCCCCCTGCCCATCTCAGCTCCTAAGTGGAAGCTCAACTTCCCTTTGGTATTTTATAATCTCTACCGTTTCTCTTCCAGAGCCATGGGCCTAATTACCACCCCTGCATATGTTCTTGTAAAGCTCCTAATCAAATGGCAGGATCATTAAGTTTCATGGCATTCTTCTTTTTTTTCTAAGTCAGAATAGCTGGTCTGCAAGCCAGAGCTCCTCTGTTTGTTGTTACGGCTTCGTCCAAGCACACGTTGAAGTTGCAATGTTTCTGAGATATTCTTGGACTCGGTCTCCAAATGCTTACTGTGTTGGTCTATTTATTAACTTCGATTTGAGGACCAATAATAACGAGCTGCTTTGGAAGCGGTAATGTTGCCAGGCCACCTGCATCCTGTTAGGTGGACAGAATGGCTCTCCAGAGAGCCCAGGGGAGCCCAGCTGCTGGGGGGGCCTAAGTCATTCCATGCTCAGCCCAGGAGGTCTTAACCCGACACTAATTATAGCTGCATTCACAGAGTGCATGCTGGGCACACAGCGGGTCTGCATGTATTTTCTGTCTTTCAAACCTCATTACCACCCTGGAAGTGCAGGCATTCGTATCCCCATTTCCAGATGAGGAAATCGAGAACCAGGGAATTCAAATAATTTGTCCAAGGTTGTCCAGAGGAGCCAGATTGGTTTCAAATTTCCAGAAACCTCATCTAAGTAAATTCAAACCACCAATCTAGAAGAAAATGCTGCAGCAATTGTTTCAAAATCCTGTACTAGGGCCGGCCAAGTGGCGCATTGGTTAAGAGCTGGCTTGGGACGCCAGCGCTGAGCAGCAGGGCACCGGTTCGGATCCCACATGGGCCAGTGACAGTGCCCTCTATAGCTAAGATGGTGAACAACAGCTCAACCTGGAGCTGGGCTGCTGTGAGTCGCCAGCGATGGCGTAGGCTGCAGCCCCTGCTGCAGTGGGCTGCCATAAGCTACCGTGTGTGGCCAGCAGCCAGCGTGAAGGGCCAGTGGCCAGTGTGAGCTGCCAAGAGCCGCCATGAGCGGCCGTCCAATGGCCGGCGAGCGACTGCCTCAACCGGGAAGAGCGCAATGATAATACCAACATGGGCCAGTGAAGCAACATCCTCCACAACTAGACTGAAGAACAAAAGGACAGCAACTTGTCTGTTCCCTTTCCCGATTGCCCAGTGCTGTTCCCCTCCCCCAATTCCCCAATAAAATCTTTAAAAAAAAGAAAAAGAAAAAAGTCCTGTACTAAAGCCCAAAGCTTTTGTTTTATGTACGGCTCTAGTAACCTGGCTTTCTGATTCCATAACAGAGGGAAAATAGAAGGGACATAGTAGGAAGCTATTGGAAGTGACCCACTATTAGCCAGCAGTAAGAAGAACCTGGTTATAGTACCTGGTTAACAACCTGCTGACAACCTGGCAGTCTGCGAGAGGACAACACCAAATGTAAAAGCAGACTTTTGTCTTAAAGAAACACAAGAACTTGGTGCCGTTTAGTGTAGGAGTGAAAACTCCATCAATTGCTGGAGAACACATCACTCTTACAGTCCAGATCAGCACCTGGGGCATCCTTAAAAGACTGTGCACATACCCTAATGAAGAACACAGAGACATGAATGATGCATTTTAGGAAGAGTTCCAGAAAAAACAAATAGTTAAATACTCTTTTAGGGCTTAAAGAAGCATGCTTTAGTCATCTGCAGAAGCTACTTATGCGGAGTGCTGGTGAGGATGCAGAGCAATTGAGACTGTTGTGCACTGTTGGAGGGAGTGTAAAACGGTGCAGCCATTATGGGAAATAGTATGGCAGTTTCTCAGAAAATTAAACATGGAACTACCATATGATCTGGCAATTCCACTTCTGCATATAAACCTAAAAGAATTAAAAACAGGGACCCAATGAGATATTTGTACACCCCTGTTCATAACAGCATTATTCATAGTAGCTAAAATGTGGAAGCAACCCAAGTGTCCATCAATGGATGAGTGGATAAGCAATATGTGGTTCATACACACAACGGGGTATTATTCATCCTTTAGAAGGAAGGAGATTCTGACATGTGCTATAATATGGATGAACCTTGATGACATCATGCTAACTAAAATAAACCAGTCACAAAAAGATTAACACTGTATGAGTCCACTCATAGGGGGCATCTAGAGCGCCCAAATTCATAACGAATGATGGTTGTCAGGCACTGGGGGAAAGGAGAATGAGAAGCTGATGTTTAATGAGTACAGAGTTTCAGTTTTGCAAGATGAAATAACTTCTGAGGGTGGATGATGGTTGCCCAACATTGCGAATGTACTTAATGCCACTGAGCTGTACACTTAAAACTGATTAAGATGATAGGCTGGCCGAGTGGCTCAGTTGGTTAAGAGTGTGAGCTCTGAGTAACAGGGTCGCCGGTTCGATTCTCACATGGGCCAGCGAACTGCACCCAAGCTGAGCTGCCACTGAGCTGCCAACAGGTGGCAGGATGGCTCAGCTGGTGGCTCCTAACAACAAGGCTGCTGGTTCAACTCCCACATGGGATGGTGCATTATGCCCACCTGCAACTACGATTGAGCGCAGCACCTTGAGCTGAGCGGCCGTGAGCTGCCAACGGGCGGCCGGATGGTGACTGGACTTGGAGCTGAGCTAGCGGCGCCCTCCACAACTAAGATTGAAGAACAACAATTTGGCTGTTCCCCTTCCCCAATTCCCCAACACTGTTCCCCTTCCCCAATTCCCAAATAAAATCTAAAACAAAAACAAAAACTGATTAAGATGGTAAATTTTATATTATATGCATTTTACCACAATTTAAAAAAATCAACTTATGTGGAATTGCCTCGCCCCCCCCCCCAAATAGGTGTGTGAATTATTACTGGAATTAAAGTTGAAACGCCTCCAAACCCTTCCTGCTTAGTACCAACGAAGGGTGGGGCAGAGACCACGTGACCATTTTGGGAACACCTACCCCAAAATATTCTAACAGAAGTGGGGTAAGAGATGGTTGAAAGCTAGGCTGGGCGCTGGCCATAGGGATGCCCCTCGTTCTCGGAGAAGGATGACAAACCTCCAGTAGGGATTCTGAACATTAGCACAAGAGGGGCTCCTGGGCAGCTGTGCACTTATTAACGGGTCCTCCCCGATCTGTGCTCTCATCCAGGTTGCCTTTTTCCTCTACAATGGAGTGTCGCTGGATCAATTTGTGCTTCAGGTAACCCACCCACGATACCTGAAGAACTCACTGGTTTACCACCCCCAGCTCCGAGCACAGGCCTGGCGTTACTTGACGTACATCTTCATGCATGCAGGGTGAGTACCTGTCTTCTTTTGCTCGATCAAGAGTCCCTCTGGAAAAATAAGTGGCCCAGATAGCCTGGACTGGAATATATTTTTTAGTTTATCTGATTTACCTGGACACAAGATTTGAAGTGGCTCTTTGAAACTCATCTAATACCAAAATATATGAGTTAATGACAGTATATGGGAACGGGAAAATAGTGGGAAGAAAAATGCTAAAATTCTGTAGTGAGATCACCATAAACATACACAGCACATGAGTCTATGTACTTGTTCGAGGTGGGTTGTAAATTTGTTCTGAGATTCCCAGTGGCCAAAGCAAAGAGGGAAATGTGGTCAGCTACTAAGTTCATTGTCCATAAACTGTGTGCGTGCGAGTACCCCCTTGAGGAAATAAAGGACAGATTTATTGAAACTGCCTTCCTCCCAAGGTGCTCTCCATATATGGTGGGTCTTCTTGAGGAATTCTGGCAATACTTACAGTTTCTATTCGTGTGGCCTTTGTTAGGGCTGGAGTGCAATCATTTCTCACTGGTACCTCTTACTGCCTGATAAGGCCAGGTGACCATCCAGGTCCAAATCCCTTGAAAAGCACTGTCTTGGCTGAAGACCATTTTTACACGGGAGAAGCGCTGAGTTGGGAAGGCAGAGTCCCTGGACACCAGGCCTCTACGGTGTCTTTCACAGCCTCTCCAGAGAGAGACGTGAATTGACTCACTGTTAGTCTGCGGAAAGCCCTGGGGATGCCTCCCTGGGGTTGGAAACGGGAAGAGGCTCCCTCTGGTCCCATGGCTCCACCATTTTTGTTCCTTGGCAGAAAGACCCACAGTGGCCAAGAGGGAGCCCCACTGTGAGCCTCCCTTCCAACTAAGCTAAAGTGGCACAATCACCAACCCCTAATTGGCTGCATCTGCTGGCGGCAGGGTGGCTTTGGGGTAAGGAGACATTTTGATGGTGGATGTCTCCACTCTGAGCCCGAGGGAACTGTTGGCACAGGCTGTTGACCTTGCCTGTTGTGTCCCAGGCTTTGGTCTCACAGGGCTAAGGAGCAGAGGGAGGGAGGTATGCCCTGCGTTGTTCTTTTCATGAGCCAAGAGCTAGAGACAACAGGAACCAGGGGGATTCTCTGCCCAGGCTGCCCAAGGGTTGGGACTACCTGCCTTATTGGCAGGACTGCCCTCTGGCCTGCCCTGATCCCTTCAGATGTGGAGTAGAATAGACAAGGCCTTCTTATGCATTTTTTTGCCTCCAGAAGTGGCCAGGGCACAGATGCTCTCCGCTGAGGCCCATGGGGTAGCCTCGGGCCTTTCTCTGGCCATTGCTTCTGACGGAGCGATGCCTGCCAGGGGGAGCCCTGGGAGGGTTCTCCAGACCTGGGACTTTGAGGGAGGGGCTCTTGGCTGCCGTAGACAGGAGACAGGGACAGCTGGCCAGCGTCTAGAGCAAGCCCCGCAGGGTGACCTGTTACTCAGGGACACGCTCCGGGCTGGTGAATTCAGGAGTCACTGTGGCAGAGAGGAAGGAGATTGGAAGGCAGGAGCTCTGGGTCCCCCTCACCTGGTCCCTTCTAGCCTCGGCCTAGGCTGTAAACCAAGGAGACAGGACCAGAAACTTCAGAGGTCTCTCTGCCTAAGAGTCTCATGCTACCATCCAGCTCCTTTTCAGTGAATTTTTCTGACGTTTCTAATCCAGAATCCTTTGGCTGGCATAGTCAGGGCGTGCTAGAAGTTTCCAGGCATGGTAAGAATTTGGGACAGAGCCTGATGTGAGACCTGAGCTACCTCACAGATGCCCTCCTGGGTAAGCAGGTGCCCATGTACACTGCACGTAGCAGAGCAGTTGGCCTCCAGGCCGGGTTCTGCCAACGAGGCCAGCTTCCAGACCCCTTGTCACATGCTGCTACCCTTCAACTGAAGCATCTCCAGGGAGCTGTCCAGCTGCTGTAGGCTCAGTTTATATGAGATAATGGACGTTAAAGTGCTTTGTAAATTAGAAAGCACACATCAATGTAATAATAGTAATGTTACAATCGTTTCTAGTAGCATATGCACTCGGCTAGACACCATGTAGCGACAAGATCTGGCTGCAGGTATATGATAGGGTAAAAAGGAAGCCATGCACAGGGTAAGCAAACCTATCCCTGGGAGTTTGGGGGTAGAACAGGTCCCTTCTTATACCAGGAGGGAGAAGCCTCTCCTATGAGATTTTAAGTGCTAACTGTGGATTATTAAGTTCTAAGAGATATCTCTGATGCTTACACTTGTTTTGAAAACATTTTCCTCTTTAAACGTCAGTAGCTCTCACAAATACGATAGCAAGCCAGAGTGCCCTCGTGGCCTGGTGAATGAAGCAGATTCTGCACATCAGACCTGGGCTGTGGTCCCAGCTGGCCACCAACCAACTGTGTGACTGTAAACTAGTCATTTCCCGTCTCTGAGCCTTGGCTTTTCATGTCAACCAGTGGAGCTGCTGGATCTTGACCTTGGGTAGCCCCTCTCTCTGTGGCGAGTGCAGACACTTCCAGTTACCACCCAGGCCCTGCACGTGTGTTCCTGTCTCAGGTGGCAGGGAAGGGGTGGAAGGAACACTCTTTCCAAGATGATCTGTCTGTATTGTAATTCCTGCCTCCCCTCCCCTCCACCCCCAACCACGATCTCCTCAAAGGCAGGGATAGGGCCTTGTTCACTACTGGATCTCTAGCATTTTAGCACGCAGTGTTTGTTGAATAAATGAATAGATGGATGAATGAATGAATGAATGAACACACGGAGTGTGCTCTCTCTGTACAGGATAGAACACCTGGGACTCAACGTGGTGCTGCAGCTCCTGGTGGGGGTGCCCTTGGAGATGGTGCACGGAGCAACCCGCATCGGGCTGGTCTATGTGGCTGGCGTTGTGGCAGGTAGGCAGGTGGGCCCCACATCCATAGGGGAAACTTCCCCAAAGAGGCTGAGAGTATCTGTGGAGTTGGGCAGGCCCCAGGCTTCCAGGGGACCCCGGACCCTCATCACCAAGGCTCCTGACTGCTAGGGTTGTACTCCAGGCAAATCTCCCCACCTCCTCTGGGAGGCTAGAAAGGGAACTGCCACCCAGAGAGGGAGGCATGTGATGGCAGAGGGGAGGGGAGTCCAAGGTTTGGAACAGGCCGAGTGACCAGACTTCCGGTCTTACGCCACCGTGTGGAGGCTGTGTGAGCTTGGGGAAATTCCTTAACCTCTCTTGGCCTCATTAAGCTTTAAGAGGGAACTAATAAGATCTAAGGTGACAAATGGAGTAATGGTGTTATGTAAACTGTGCAGGGGCACAGTAAGATCCCTGCAGTGACATCCAAGGTGTGGGTGAAGCCAGGTACATCCCTGGCCGGGCCAACACTTCTACCCAAAGGGAGATCTCGCCTCTGCCAGGCTGGCCACTGTCCCCTTGATTGACCCTCTGCTGACAGGACAGAGCCTGGCCGAAGAGGTGGCATTCGTGCCATCTGGAGGACTCTGGGGCCCCCGGCTGACTCTGCTCCTTTGGCAGGTGATCATGGCCTTGAGAACAGTGGCAGCGTGACTTCCCCCATTTCCCTCCCACTCCATGGGAGGTGAAGTGGGTTGGGGTGGGCTGGGGAGAGCAGCGCAGGTTTCTGCAGCAAAAGTCTGCAGCAGCCGGGCTTCTGAACAGAGGGACCGTCCCTCGTGATGTTTCCAACTTTATTGCTGGATATTTTTTTTAACAAGGTTTGCCGCCTCAGCTCTTCACCTTGACAGCTGTGCCCAAGGGAGCTTTGTGTGTATGTTTAAGTAAGATCTTAATCCTTTCTGAGTGGCATTAAAGTTGTCATCAGAAGAGCAGGGCAGCATCAGCCTGTACACACTGGGCAGGCAGGGACCCTGGGAGCAACTGCAGTGGCTTCAGAGATCAAGAGGAAGGATCCCACCCCATCCGTGCAAGGCTGGTCTGCTCATTGGTGGACCCCCCGCCTGGGAGGTTGGTTCAGCGCTGGCTTCCTTTGCTCCTCTCTGTGCTGAGGTTAAAAAGCTTGGCCCCCTCGGACAGCACCCACCCACGCCAGCTTCTCCCAGAATCCAGCACCTTCCACGTCCTTGAACAAAAGACTCATGAACATCTCTGTGTTTCAGGCTTACTCAGCCACCCACACACACGCCCCTGGGTCTTGACATGTGGCGATGTATAGCCACATTCCCCACACCGAGATACCCAGAGACCCAGATGGTAAATGGTGAGGAACAGGAGAGACGCTCGTAACACTTGCAGTTAGCAGTCAATTAGATGGGAGTGCCAATACCCCAGAAGACAGAAACCAGATTCAAAATGACTCAGGCCTCGCCCAGACCAGATGACACACAGCGGGGAGACAGTGCAGGTATCACTTCCCAGTGACATCAGTGCAGAGTGGGATGGTGCCCAGACAGAAGTGGGGCTTGCCAGCTAAACACGAGGGCGTGGGGCTGTATCACAAAGCAGATGATGTGCGCGTCTGTCTCAGTCATTGATTCAGACCCGAGGACGCTCCGGTCACAACATATCACGTTCTTTATCTCCAGGATTGAGTTGACTGATCTGACTGCACCCCTTCCTCCCTCTCTGCTCAAAATGGGGGCCCTTTGACAGCCAGCCAGATCCAGACTGGGTAGCCAGTCGTTACCAAGTGCCCGCCCCCTGAAGGCCGTATCTCACCCTCACACCCACCCTGTGAGGCGGGTACTGTTACTCTTCACCTGTTAAAGATACAGAAAGTGAGGCTTACAGAGCCCAAGTGACTTGCCTAAGAAGACACAGTCGAAAGTGGTGGAGCTGGGCTCCAACCCAGGCTTCCTGACCCCAAAGGCTGTGCTCTAAACCACTGCCATGTTACAGGAACTAAAAGGCAGGCCTTTTCGTGTGTGCAGATTGTCAGAAACCAAGGGAGGTCTTACTAGACACTGGGCCCTGCCCTTTAATTCCTGCTCAATGTAAATATTCCAAATCCAAGGCCATCACATGCTGTAACGATGATAGCTGACCTCCGCTGAGCACGTTGGGTACTCGGGACATATGATAAAGGGTTCACATGTGTTATCTGCTGTATTCATCACAACCATCTTAGAAGGGGGCACTGTCACCCTCATTTTATAGGCAGTTCAAAGCGGTGAAATGACTTACTCGTTTGCTCAGCTAAGAAGTACTAGACCTGGGGTGGAAACCCCTCTTCCGCCCTGTGCTTCTAACCAGTGCTTGAGACCAATGTGCATTTTACTTCTAGCTAACAGTTATATGGCTAGCCATTTAAATGCTTAAAAAACCCATATCTTGAATGTCCCTGTCAAGCTTTTTTTTTTTTTTTTAAAGATTTTTTATTGGGGAATTGGGGGATGGGAACAGCGCTGGGAAATCGGGGGAAGGGGAACAGACAAGTTGCTGTCCTTTTGTTCTTCAGTCCAGTTGTGGAGGACATTGCTTCACTGGCCCAAGCTGGCACCATCATTGCGCTCTTCCTGGGCGAGGCAGATCAGTCACCGGCTTCTGGACGGCCGCTCACGGCAGCTGCTGGCCGCTCACGCTGGCTGCTGGCTACACACGGTAGCCCATGGCAACCCACTGCCGCAGGGGCTGCAGCCTACGCCATCGCCGGCGACTCACAGCTGCCCAGCTCCAGGTTGAGCTGTTGTTCAGCATCTTAGCTGTGGAGGGCAGTGTCACTGGCCCTCATATGTGGGATCCAAACCGGGGCCCTCTGGCATCCCAAGCCAGTTCTTAACTATCGCGCCACTCGGCCGGCCCCCGGTCAAGCTTTTATTATAGATTATAAGGCACATGTGCATCCCCAGAGCCTAACACAGGGTTCAGCACATGTGAAGCAACAAATATTTGTAGACTAAATGAAAGAATACAGAAATGAAGGTACATTGCTTAAAGGAAGCTGTTTTGCTGATTTTTACTTGGATTTTTTTTTTTTTTTGGGCCAAGAGAGACGTTGGAGAGCACCTGCTTTAAATTTTCCAGGGTAAAATGACCATAGCTGTGCATTATGGCAAAGTCACCAATTAATCTGCATGCTGGCACGGGCCCAGACTTTGGGGGGGAAAATTGCTAGCCCTGACTAGAACTACTCCTGTGGTGTGCTGCTGTGCAGAGGTGTGGTGTGTCACTTGCCGTTCTCTCCCGCCATGGCCTCCATGGAATCAATACTGGCCTTATTGAACTGTCATCCATTAGGTTATTAGGAATCCTGCTGGCCCAGGCTTTCTGCCCTGGGGTGGCCTTTATTACTATATTGGCATGCATGATGTCGCGTTTGTGTTTGATCTCTCCTAGTCCCTGCAGGGCAGGGCTAATCTGTAGTCACTTGAGGAAAGTCTTCATGCCACAAAGGGAAGAAGGCAGCTGGATCCAGATGGTCGCCTTCGAGATGCTAGAACCAGGGTCTGAGCCTCAGACCCAGACCTGAGGCCAAGACTCAGATGACTCAAGTTCTGATCTGGAAGGAACCCTTGAGGTCCCCTCCAGTGGCTGGCACCCTTTGCTCCCCAGGCCCCACCCCTGTTCAGCCAGAGGGCCTCTCTGTGTGTGCTCTGCTCCATGGAGTAGGGTCTGGGTAAGGTTTCCTCTGAAAAGAACGTTTCACTGCTCAAAAATTGGAAAGCCTTAGACCTCCTCATTTCACAGATGTGAAAACTGAAACCCAAAGAATTCAGGGGCTGCGCCCAAGGTCACACAACTAGCCAGCCACACCCCCCATTCCATGCTTCTGCCACAATCCCAGGCTGACCCCTGCACTGGGGCCAGGACTCCAACCCACGGGCAGGGTGAGGGAAAGGTCAGTGGGTGGAGGCTGGACCCTAGGGGCATCTCTGATGCCTCTGATCCTGGTGGACCTCGCTGGGGAGGCCCGGGAAACAGAATCTGGGCTGGTTTGTGGGGACTTGTGCAGAGGAAAGAGGCTCTGTCCCAATGGTAATTAATGAGGAGCAAGGGGCTGGGGCAGCCAGCCCTCCCTGCCACGGCAGTGCCGCCTTCTCAGCCAGCCCACCGGGAGAGCGTGGGAATCCTTTGTCATGCAGATCCCACTGCCTGTCTGTTCGCGACCCTGGGATTTTTTTTCCCCCCTGTTATATATGGTTGACCCCATGGCTAGGCAGTAAAAAAAAAAAAAAAAAAATTATCTGACAATAGATCAATACCTAATTAAAGCCTGAGGGAAGGCATGAAAGGCGAGAAGAAAGATTTATAGTTGCCCTGGGAGGGCAGAAGGACTTGGGAGTTCTCAGTTGATAGTTTGTTCTTTCCTGGGAAATTACATCCCCCTTGAGACCAAGAATCTGTCGTGGGGATCTCTTCCTTGAAGGATCTGAGTGAGCTGAGGAGCCTTGAGAGAGGTGTGGTGGGTATGTGGGGAGAAGGCGGATGATGTTACAGGGCCCCTCCGTACCCAGGGTGTCGGGTGCTCTGGTTCCTGGGCTGGGCTCAGCCATCCCCTAAGCAGTAGACCCTCCACCCCGATAGAACCTGCAGAATTTGGCCTTCTGCCGATCCCTCCTCTTAATCCAGGCAGCAGCTAATTGGCTCATGAGCCTGCAGGCATTTTCCAGTGGTGGTTTCTGCACACTCACCCAGGCCAGCCACTTCTCATCCTCTGAGCCCTGGGCTCTACCTCCCAGTTATTTTTAGTCTCCCATGTCCTTCCCTGGAAGCCAAAGCATTGATCACACTGAAATGAGACCAGAACAATACATTTCCCATCTCCTCTCTGCCCAGCTGTCCTCCCAGGACAAAAGTTTGTCATCCCCCAGACCAAGAGTCTATACCCTCCTTTCCCCCAGAGGGTATGAGGTCATCTCTCTCTCTCTTCCTGGGGACTTTTCAAGGACACTTTTCCTCCAAAGAAACCCCTTTGGCTCGGGAGATCTTGTTGGCCTTTTGTGATTTCCCTCGGCTGCAGGAAGGTTTGGAGGGGATCTAAGCAGGTTTCTAGATGCTGTTGAGCAGAGAGAGTGACGGTAGAGGGTGAAGGTTGGCCTGGGTACCAGTTTGGGGAGTCGCTGCTAATTGAGGCCAAGAGCACATGTAGACCTGAACTCACATCCGGGGTCCAGCCCCCCGCCATCAGGTGACTCTGGGCTCAGTCTCTTCATCTCTGCAATGAGGCTACTAGCACCTTTCTCAAAGGGCTATCTTGAGAGTTCAAGGGGAGAATGGCTGTCAAATGCTTGGCCGGTGTCTGACACCCAGTGTCCTCCCAATAAGTGGTAGCTGTTTCTGCAACAATTTTTGTTACTGCTCCAGAGCCCTGAGACAGCACATTGTGAGGCAGAGATTGGATGGAGAGACAGATGCTCACTTGCCTCCACTGAGTCTTTGTTCCCCAGCTGTAGGAGAGATTTGAATCAGATGGTTCTTTGAGCCATAAATTAATCCTCTAGGAGACTCCAAGACAATGTGGGATCAAGGAAGAGACTTTTGCCCAGGGGTCTTACCCCTAAGGCCGCAGCATCTGAGGGCCTGGGGACGGGGTGGGGAACCGCCCCCAGCATTCTTGAATTCTCTGTCTGTCTGTCTGCCCCAGGATCCTTGGCAGTGTCTGTGGCTGACATGACTGCGCCCGTCGTGGGCTCCTCTGGAGGGGTCTATGCGCTTGTCTCTGCCCATCTGGCCAACATCGTGATGGTGAGTACCCCCTGCCCCAGCACGCCTTTCTTGGCCTCCCCTCTGCCGTCACTGGGCCCTGGTGTTAATCAGCTGGGCTGGGTTTTGGATCCTCGTTCACGCTCCAGTCTAGACCTGGCAGGTGCCGGGCAGAGGGCACACCTGGCTGGTAGCAGAGGTCACAGACACGCCTCACCCTCTGCAGGCCCACCGCAAAAGGGGACCCGCTCCATATACGATTCCTATGTTCTCCAGGCATCGCTTTGTCTATGGATTGGCCCGTGTCCCTATTCTACCTCTGTCTTACTCAGTGGCTTTAAAAGTTAAAATTCTTGACCACTGACATAAATCCTAATTGTAATTCGTTGTTTGTCATAGATTGCTAAAAGTAAAGGGAACTTAGAGATCATCGTATCAAAATTCTCAAATTGGAAAGATGGCTCAGAGAGGTTAAGTGATTTGTCCAAAGTCACAGACAAGGTTGTGGCTAAATCGGGACTTGAACGCGCATCTCCTGAAAACCATTTAGGTGTTGTTTCTCTGTACCAGCCTGTCACAGTGGTGGGACACCGCTATTCCATTTCTCACACCCTTCTTTGCCTTTTCCTGAAAGGCCATATCGTGTAATGGTTATGCGTGTGGGCTATGGAACTCGTCAGCTTAGATCTGAACCCCAGCCACTCACTTCCTGAAAAATGACCTTGACCAAATGACGTAACTGCTTTGTGCCTCAGTTCATTTGCCTGTGAAATAGGAGGATATGTTATGAATGAGAGAACTTGAAAGTAATCCCTCAGTATAAGTGATCATGTACCGTATTTCCCCATGTATAAGACACACCCTTTTTCAAAAAATTGGGGGTCTAAAAACTGGGTGCGTCTTATACAGTGGTTGTAGAATTTTTTTGCTTGCATTTCCCGCTGAGGACGCGGCAATATATAAAGACAGTGATTCATCATCAGACACAGATGAAGACAAGCTAATGGTTGGGAATTTTTATAGTGATGAGGAATTGTATGAATTTTATGATGAATAAAACTTGAGTTCAATAACTTTATGTAGTATATTTTTTTTCAAATTTCGGGCCCCAAAGTTAAGGTGCGTCTTATACATGGGGAAATACGGTAATTCCTGATTCTTGCAGAAGAGGCCCGTGGTCTTCAAGGTCTTCAAGAGACAAGGTCTTCAAGGCAAGAAACAGGAATCAACCGGAGGTGAGGGAAGTGAGGGAGGTGAGGGAAGACTGCTTCCCTGCTTTGGACGTGGCCTGAAGTTTGGAGGAGTCCCTGGCTGTGCTTCGCTTACTCTGGCTGACCTGGGAACCTCCAGGCAGGGCCCGGGTCTTACCCACCTGTTTCCCTAGTGCCTGGCATAGGGCTCGGCACAGGGCAGATGGTGTCCACTACATTTTGTTGAAGGAAGGAAGGAAGGCATGAACCGTGTCCAGAAAAGGCATAGCTTCTCTGTGGGGTCCTCTTGGCCTCACCTCTCCCCCCCCCCATCACTCTCTTCACCACGTGGCAGATGCGTGACGACTCAGTTACAACAGTAATTTAGGAGTTCCTAAATGCTCCCATTTCATTTGTGTTATTGCCACTCTCACCTGCCCCGCTCCTCAACACCATCCCTTTTCTTTTCACCAAAGTCCCCTTGGTATGTTGAGAGAGAGAGCGTGAGAGGGAGAGAGGAAAGAAAGGAAGCGAGAGGGGGAAAGAGACAGACAGACACTGCCTACACTTGCTACTTGCCTGAATTTTGGCGACATCCGGTGAGTGCTTGGAGAGCGACAGCAGGTGTGGGAGAGCCTGTGTGAATGGGCGAGTGTGCGTGCGTGTTGATGCATATGTGTTTACACACACATGGCTCCGTCTGCTGAGAACCTGGGAGCAGGGCTGCCTCGCACGGCCCTCTTAAATGGGTCATTCTGTATCAGTGCCACTGCTTTCCCCAGACACAGCTCTTCCTCCACGCCCCCCTCCCCCTGCCCCAGTTCCTTTCTGTAGGGGAAGGAAATGCTAACCACCCTCCCCTTCTGCTCCCCCCAAGATGTGTCTGTGTGTGAGGGGTTGAACAAGCACAACCAAGAGAACATGGGAAAGAAAAAAACAAACAAGAGTTCATCAAGATGCCCTGTTTCCACCCCCTTCCCCACCGCATGGGAAACAGCCCTGAAGCCCCAGGAGTTCCCATGGTGAGGGCAGATCACCCCAAGAACCTTGAGGTGGGGCGTGGGGTAGAGGAGGGAGGTGTGAGAGCGGTTTTGTTCCAGTTTACACTTCTCTCTGGCAAGCAGCGCACGCCTGTGGCCGAGGAGATGGGCAGCCCTATCCGAGAGCCCGTTGCCCTTCCAGAAGGACACAGCTGTCCCTGGCCAGCGGGGAGCTTTGCGGTCCCCAGAGAGTGACATACTGCACCCTTTCTGTAGAAAGTTGTGTGGTGCTTATTTGACAGTGGGGAAAAAAACCAAAAAACAAAAACCACTCATTTTTTTCATTTAAAACAAAACATTAGTTTCCTTTCATCAAGAGGCCACCTTTTACCCAAAATAACTCTGTGCCCAGCAATTCAGAGATTCATTGGGTCAAACCCTATGAAATTGCCGTTTCTGTGGGTAAGGAACGTTTATGTAAACATTGGCAATTTCTTGTGGTTCCACCAAATAGGCATACTATTAATTTTAATTCCAAAATGAAGATTGGTCTGTATATGTGCACACAACAAAACACCTTGTCAGAACAAACAGGAGAAAAAGCAAGGACTTGACAGTCATAAAAATCTGGGTTTGAGTACTAGCGTCACCATTTTAACAGCTGTGAGTACCTTATCTTCGCAGGGCCTCAGTTCTCTCATCTGTAATTTCTTCTTAACAAAATATTGGATTGTCGGAAAAGTAATGATGTATTTTTTCTATGTCTTTCATTGCAAAAATGCATCATGACTTTTCCAACAACCCAATAGTTTGTAAGAAACACATGAAAAGAAATGGATGCAAAAATGTTTTCTATATGGCAGATCACTATAGAGCTGGGAGATGTGTGTGTGTGTGTGTGTGTGTGTGTGTGTGTGTGTGTGTGTATACATATTTGTATACGTATTTTTTATTTTTATAAATTTTGCCTGATACCTGTACAGAGAATAACCAAAAAATGTGTCCTTTTTGCTCTAGCTACATAATAGAAAAATGTTTAACACTTCCGTTCTCAGGACTATCTGTTTAAATGAGAGATTCTGCTTAAATCCAAGTGTGTCTTATTTTTCATAAAAACACTATGAGTTTCGAAAAGCTTGCAGTTTACATCAAGGGATTATATTCAGAAACTATTTCAACAAAAGATCTGGTAGGCATAAGAGACCTACAACTCAGACTTCTTATTTTAAACACTGGAAATATAAAGATACACATAATTGAATAATTTATTATTAATAATTGTCGTTTGCTGGAACCCCTGGGCCTGATTTCCATTTTTAAATATACAAGATATTTACTCACCCTTTGCTCCATATGATAGCTCTTTTCCTAAAAATGTTTGAGATCTGAATTTTTGTTAAGTTGAACCATATTCTCAAAGCACAAGGAAAAAATGTCTAAAAGACACAAAATATTTCTATGTTATAAGGTTCGCTTTATTAAGTAAAAATCCGTTTGTAGGACAAATAATCACTCCCTAATTTACCTGTGGCATGCTTTCACATTTCCTATGTTGGGTTTTCTTGAAGTCGTTTGACAAGGAACTACATCTACCCCAGACAGGTAAATCTGTGTTGAAAGGAAATTCCCTGCCTGGGTTTCAGACTCTGAGCCCTTAACTGGTTGGGTGAGCAAGATGCCCAGGGAACTGGTTACAGCCTTGTTTGCTCAGGGTGAGTTACCATCTCACTCTATGAGGCTCTGGGAGAGAAAGAAATTAAAGGACCTGCAAAAGTTTTGTATTTCCCCAGGGGCCTTCAGGCTTTTCAACATTTATAGCAGCAGCAGTGCTGGCTGTGTGTGAGATTTTTTTTCTTTTCCTGTTGTTTAATTGCACTCATTTTATTGGAGGGAATAGTGGGTGGGAAAATGAGGCAGCTGGTGGGAAAGGGTGATTTTCTAGTTTAACCCTTCTGCTGCTTGGGAGACGGGGTATTTATTGACATTTGCTCAGCTTTGGGGGGCAGCTGGGGCATCCAGAAGGGACCAACAGCACAGACGGACAGAGCATGACCCTGTTCCAAAAGTGTGGACAGACAGAGCCTGGACTGGGAATCCTGTCAATCTTGCCATTATCTCACTGTGACCTTGAATTAGCTTGCTTGGACCCTCAGTTTCTTCTCTCTTTTTACTTTTCTTTTTTTTTTAATTTTATTGGGGAACAGCCATGGTCATTGGTTACACATTGCTTTCATGCTACAATGGCATAGTTGACTGTTTTTCAAGGAGGGTGCAGCTCAGAGTGGCTCATGCGGGGATCAAACCGGCAACTTTGGTGCTATCAGCACGACGCTCTAACCAACTGAGCCAACCATTCGCCCTGTTTCCTCTTTCTTAAAGTGCGGACAGAGGATGTGACTGGATCAGCTTGGCACACTCCAGTGCCTGCAGGGGCTAGGGAGGTATTGTAAACGAAGCTGGACTGGGTCGCCCTGAGGCAAAACTAGAGCTTCCCAGCTCCTTCCAAGGTTGTTGGGATGCAGAAGTTTTAAAGCCGCTGTGCAGGGCAAACTCGCTGTTTCTGCCGCAGATCTAGATACTAATAGCAGACATTTCTATGATGTTTATCATGTGCCAGGCAGAGTTCTTAGTGCTTTATACGTATTAATTCATTTCACCTTCACAAAAACCTGGTAAGGTAGGTCATTGAGATAGGTACTATTATTATCTCAAATTTACAAATGAGGAGACTGGAGAAAAAGGAGTTCCGAGCCACCCCACCAATGGTCTTGTCAGACTAAAAATATGGATGATGCTTTCTAAGACAGATCCATCCCAGACAGGGGTAAGAGGGGGCATGGACCCAGCTGACAGAGAGAGCAGCCAATACAGCCTAGGATTTTCTTTGCCCCATATTATCACTCTGAACTCAGTGAAAGAAACATCAGGGAAGATATTCAGAGAGTATCTGAATGAGGAAAGGGGATATTAGAAGTGTTGTGTATCACTTTTATTTTTAGTTGTGATAAATTAGCATAATTTACCAACTTAACCACTTTAAGTATACGGATTCAGTAGTGCTAAATACATTCACATCATTGTGAAACCATCACCACCATCCATTCACACACCTCTCTTTGCATCTTGCAAAAACTGAAACTCTGTACCCATAAAACACTAATTCCCCATTCTACCCTCTCCCTAGCCCCTGGCAACCACTATGCTACTTTGTATCTATGAACTTGACTAGTCTAGGTACCTCACAGAAATGGAATCATACAGCATTTGTCCTTTTGTGACTGGCATATTTCACTTAGCATAATGTCTTCAGTGTTCGTTGAAGTATATAGTATGTATCAGAATTTCCTTCCTTTTTAAGGCTGAATAATATTCTAGTGTATGTATACACCACATTTTGTTTCTCATTTTATCTGTCAGTGGACACTTGGGTTGCTTCTACTTTGGGGCTATGGTGAATAATACTGCTATGAACATGAGTGTCACTTGTAAGGGAGAATTAAGACCCCTGGGTGGACATCACAGGGAGGCACAGCCTAGCCGGATAATAGGAAGAACTTTTCAGTGGTCACAGCCCCTTCCTTCCCAGGGCTGCCCCAGGAGGTGATGAGCTCCCTGTTGCAGATGGTCCATCAGGAGACCCCCAGGCACCACCAACCATAGGGTTTCGCCCAGGAGAGGAGCCAAGGGGCCGCCCACCATCAGCTAATGGAGCTGGGCAGATCCAGAGGAGGACACCCACTCCTGTTTTGTTCCCTGTCCCCTGGGGAGCCTCCTCTGTGGGCAGACACCAGCAGGTGACAATGTTGTCCTGCCATCTGCTTCGTAGCACAGAACATGTCAGCGAGCAAAGATTAGACGTCCCCATGTAAAGAGGGGCCGTGTGGTGCCCACCACGACTTTTGTGGAGAAGGGCTTGCGGGTCAGTGAGGAAGAATGGGGGAAGGGGAGCCCAACGCTGCGAGTTTCCCCGCCTTGTTTTGGCAGCTTCCCTGCCTCCTGCTTGCTCCGCTGACGCTTCCACAGACGTTGTATGTGCGGGGCCTCTGTCAAGTTTAACACATGTGTCCCCCAATGTCAAAGGGGTGTGAGACGTGCCCCCCAGCTGGGCCCGGGCCAGGCAGCAAAGGCAAAACGGATGGTGGGAAGGAACAGAAGTGCCTGGCTGTACCCGGTCTGCCTCCTTCCCTAGGGCTGGTGTGTTCCAGGAAGAGCCCAGGGCTCGTTTCTATGTGTGCCCGTGCGTCGGTACAAATGGAGTAGCGCTTTGAATGCACTGCAGGAGTGCCCCTCAAAGGAACCCCGTGGCGAAGTCTTTTGTAAAATGAAAAATCCTTTTGTGAGGTGAATAATTGTACTCTGTTCATCTGCTTTGGAGGTTCACAGTGTTCAGAGATTCTCAGGGGAAAGAGGGATTTGTTTGAAGGCCATCTGGCCCACCCCCTTCCAATGCCCGATTCTAGAGCGTCCCCTCCAAGTGACGCAAAGCCCTGTGTGAGCCCCTCAATGATGGGAAACTCACCATCCCCCAAGATGGATTATTCCATCTTTAGGCAGCTCTGCTTATTAGAAGTGGAAACTTATGCTGAGCTTAAAAAAAAACTCTCTCTGAAGTTTTCATCCACTGAGTCATCTGCTTTGCAGGTTACACTGAATGTGCCCTTTCCTTGTGTTGGCTCACTTGATAGCTGACAGCAGTGAACTTGACCCCTAAGTCTTCTCTTCATGCATTCCTCATATGCAGGATTTAGAGGGTTGGTTTTTTGTTTGTTTGTTTGTTTTTTGTTGCTGTTTTTATCATACTGATGGTTCTGCTCTGACTTTGCTTGTTTTGGTGTTCTGCAGCCCTTTGCAACTGTGGGACCCAGCCATTAATGCAACTCTGAGGTGTTGTCTGTGTGTGTAGAGGAGACCGGAACTCTCATCTCCCTAGATCTAGATGCTCTTCCTCTGTGAGTGCAGCACAAGAGCTTTTTGATAGCAATCAACTTACCAGTGCCTAAAGTCTCAAAGCCATGCCGGTGGGATCTGCGACTAAGCCACAACCCCCTCATTCAGGAATTCAGTGAAGATTATTTTTTTAAATGTCAGGTTTTCTTAAGCCAGATACATGTGCAGAGGAGGGATCTGATCTGGAACTAATGGAATTCTCTCCTTTTTTCCTAGAACTGGTCGGGCATGAAGTGCCAATTCAAGCTGCTGCGGATGGCTGTGGCCTTGATCTGTAGTAAGTCCTGATGGGGAAAGGGAGTCCTGCTTTGGGCCTGGCGGATAGAAAGATGACACAGCCCCTGCCCTTCAGGAGCTTGTGGTCCAGAAAAATAAAAAGAGGGAGCCATGTCAATCACGTGCAACAAAGTAGGGATGTTTGGTGAGAAGTCTGGCCTACTCTGCTGCTTCTCAACCTTTCTCAAACTTTTTCTTGACACATAATATGCAAACAGAAAAGTGCACACAGGATAAGTGTCCAGCGCAATGACCAGCACCCAGATCAAGAAAAAATCACTTCTTAATAACCTTTGGGGTGATGGAGCCGATCCTTTGAGATCTCCTGTTGGAAGCTAGATACCTCTTTCCCAGAAAAACACACCTATGCCTGTGTGCATACACGGGCGCGCGCGCACGCGCGCGCGCGCGCACACACACACACACACACACACACACACACACACACTGGTAGTTTTAGCAGGTTTACAAAGTATACTCCATGACCCCTACAAACATGGTGGTGTGGGCCCTAGTTGGCAGAAGTCAGTTCTACCTGCAGAGGTAATGTTGAGTGTTCAAGACAGGCAGGTAGGTGTTCACCATGCAGACAAGGTGCAGGAGGGCATTTCCGGCAAAGATGCAGCGTTAACAAGAACGGGCAGCTGCAGGGGCACAGCGACGATTCAGTTAGCAAAACCAACCTATGGGATTCGTGACTGCGTGTGATTGTGATAAGAGGTAAGAGGAGCCAGATCATGAAAAGCTTTACATGCAAAGAGCAACATTGGATTTCAGCCTGAATACACTGGGAGGCCACCGGGGGGCTTTAAACAAGAGCGTTACTGACAGATTTGAGACCAGCCAGACGGCAGCATGAAGTAGGCGCTGAGTGTTCGGGGATGAGACCAGAGGCCAAAAGGCTCATTCTGAGACAGAGATCAAAGTCTGAACAGAAGCAATGGAGACAGGAAGAGGGAAGAGGGGGTGTGTCCTCCAGTGCTCAGAATACAGCTATGAAGAGGGTATTATTAGGCTTGATTACAGGTAGGCACTCAAGGCTCAGAGAGGTCAGTTCCTTTCCCAGGGTCACCCAGCTAGAGGTGACAGAGCCAGAATTCAGAGCCAGCCTGTGCCATTTCCATTGTCGCACACGTTCGCCAGGCAGGGCATGCGCACTTGGCTGTCTCTGCCTGGGTCGGCCACCAACGACGAGAGGAAGAGGAAGACTTAGGCAGAACAAGCATGAGATGAAGGGGGCCCTGTGTGAGCTCCACTGAGATCCACCTTGGCGTCCCTTGCCTCGTATATTCATGGCTTTCAGGGCTCTCGGGTCTCAGTTTTCTGGATGGGGTTGGAGGTTTTCTACTTCCAGAGAGGAACTTCCAGCCCTAAAGCCCATAGACTCTTTGAGCCGGGGCAGTGGGGGACAATAGGGTAGGGTGCTGAGGTGACCATATCTTCCCTGTCTGCTCAGACTCTTGAGTTTGTTTGCAAGGAAGGGAAGAGAAGCATGAGTCTTGCTGTTTTAAAAAACCAACTCTAAGCATCATAAAAACACAAATGCTGTTTTGGAATGGGGGACCATGTCTTTCAAACCTCCCTTGTGGAACACAGGGCCTGCTAAGCAAAGGCAGAAAGATGCTTCTGGGCCTGGGGAGGAATGGACACAATGTCCATCCCTGGCTGCTCCTTTTCCGCCATCTATCGGCCATCCTTGGAGTTGCAGGGCCCATGACAAGGTTAGGCAATCCCCAGAGGAATGTACATCCCTTCTTTCAATCTGTTACATTTGCCTTGGTTGTAAAACGGGGATAGGAACACCTGCCCTCAGTGTCCTTGGGTGGCAGGTATCAAAATGGCACAGTTTCCCAGCTCCTATCCTTGCAAGAGAGGACATTCCCATTGGATTGGCCAACCCAAGAAGTTCATGCAAGAAGGATGGATTGGAGAGCAGGATGGGGGTGTTTTAGAATCAGTGAAGGGAGAAATTCCAGCACTTTGTTGCGACTGTTTATTTCCATTCCTTCTTTTCCCTTCTCCCCTCCATCCCTCCTTCCAACCACAAAAGCACTGGTTTTGAGGGCTTCCTAAGCATTTTGAAATAACACAGGAAAACACTTTATAAACTGTAAAGTGCTAGCACATATTACAGTTGTTATTAATGTTCCAGCAGTGTAGCCTGGTACTTAGAGACTGAGACTTTATACAGATAGGGAGACCAAGCCTCCGGGACACATGACAGCAGGGGTGCAAGGGCCTTTGGGCTCCTGTATGAGCTGTCTCCTTTGCCTGGAATGTTCTTCCGAGGGTCTTCTCTTGATAGTCACATCTCAGCTCAAATGTCTTCTTTTTAGAGAGATCTTGCCTGACTCCCCAAACTAAAGAATCCTCCTCCTTACACGCAGCATTGATGTGAAATCACCTATTTTTGTTTCCCATAAAATTTCTCATACTGAGATTATCTTATGTATGAAATTGTATGCCGGTTTATTGCCAGATCCTGTAAGCTCTGGGAGAACAGAGCTTTGTCTGTCTTCTTCACACTATACCTCCAGCACGTAGAAAAAACAGTACTTGGCCTGTTGTGAATGAATTTATGGGCCAAGTGGGCGCCTGGGTGGATGGATGGATGGATGGAGTGAGTGCAAGGCCTTGCCCAGTGGCCCTCCTGTGACTTCTCTGTGCTTCCTCCCGTTGCAGTGAGCATGGAGTTTGGGCGGGCCGTGTGGCTCCGGTTCCACCCGTCGGCCTATCCCCCGTGCCCTCACCCGAGCTTCGTGGCGCACCTGGGTGGCGTGGCCGTGGGCATCACCCTGGGCGTGGTGGTCCTGAGGAACTACGAGCAGAGGCTGCAGGACCAGTCCCTGTGGTGGATTTTTGTGGCCATGTACACCATCTTTGTGCTGTTTGCTGTCTTCTGGAATATCTTTGCCTACACGCTGCTAGACTTAAAGCTGCCACCGCCCCCCTAAAGGGCTGGAGGACCACGGTCGGCCGGTCGGGGAGGGAGAAGCAGCATCAGAAAGGAGCATCTGTGTTCTTTTCCTCATCACCAGCTCAGCGAGGCCAGGGAGGAGAGGACGAGAGACACTGGGCCGCTGTGATACGTGTGTTCAGATATGGACACGCGATGGATGGAGCCTCTTTTCTGAAAAGCATCTGCTGGAGAAGTTGGATGTGGCTACCGTTGTTTTCTAGACTGTTCTGAAAATAATGGGGCCAGAGCAAAGGCCTGGGGTGGGGTGACAGTGGCCGCCCCCTTGGGCTGGGCATGTTCCGTGTGTTCAGTGGTCTCCTCCCCTGTCAGATTGGGCAGCAGCCTTAGCCTCCACCCTGAGAGACCGAAAGGGTGTAAGGAGGGCCTGAGGGGGTAGAAGCCGGCAATTCCTTGTTCGGCCCAGAGATGATTGCAGCCCAGGAAGTGTTCCCTCTCCAGCTATAGGGTCTGGGGCTCTGGAGTGGAAGAAGGCCTGGCCGTGGACATGTTGACTTTGGCCTGGGTGGAGCCCAAGGTGCCCTCCTGTGCCTGTGGGTGAGCACTGGGGTGTGGCCTCTAGTGCCTAGGGGGACAGAGGAGGGAGGTTCTGTAACTTCAGGCCCCACCCTTGCCCTGGGGGGACCCAGCAAGAGGAACCCAAGCAAGAGGGAATGAACTTCATCCCAAATTCCACTCGGGCACGTCCCAGGACCAACTGTGACGTCTCCCTCCCTTTCTCCCGGAGTGCTGACATCTCACACCAGTGCCCCAGTACTCCTCCCCTTCCATTGTCCTGACCCTACCTTGTGCCTCTCCTTTGGTTGTGCAGGTGATATTCCGATGTGTGTGTGCACGTACGGTTTGGTGGGCTGACGTGCCCGTGTGATGGGAAAGGCACTGTGAGGTGCCTAGGAGACTGCAGCGGAAGCCTGTGAGGGGCATTGGGGGTCTGTGTGAGAGGAAGGGACAGCTCCTAAGGATCTTTGCTTTTAGCAAAGCTTGTCCCTTCTTTCCCACCGCACCCCCACCCCACCCCATCCCTTCCAAGCCTCTGAGAATTGTGGACCAGTGAAAGAATTTTCCCTGGTGGGGGGAGACCTCACTCCCTTCCAGAGCCCCTCAGGAGGCTGAGGGTGTCCTCACCTTCGCCAAGTTCTGTTCTAGGGTGGCCTTCATATCTGAAAAGGTTCTGTCCTATCTCCCTTAGGAGGCAAGGGGCTTTGGGGGTACAAGACAGGCTGGAGCAGGAATATTAAGGCCATGTGTCCTTTTGAGCCGGGGAGGACAGGAGGTTGCAGCAAAAGGAGTTCCAATTTAGGTGGAAAACTGCTTCTAAAGAGCAATTGTTGGGTGCTTGGATGAGCGTCAAAGGCGAGGACAGCCCACAGACTCAGATGCTCAGAGCTAGGAGGTAACTTGAACCCTATCAAGTCCATCCCCACCACCATTTCACAAGTGGGAAAATGAGGCCAAGCAAATAACCCCCTACCAGGAGCTGGTGCAGGCCCTGAGGGGAGAGCATGGGGAGGATGGCCTTTGACAGAATGTCATTCCCTTTATACTGCTCTTGAACTACCAACTACTGACAGCCCAGAAGGATAAAGAACCCAAGTGTGGGAGGCAAAGGGACTGGGTTCGTGCAGGTACAAGGGCAGGAGTGTGGGAACCGCATCCTACTAGCCACATGCTTATCAGAACCTTTATGGACACTGAGGCCCGACGTCCAAAGTCAGCCAGGCCAGGAATTGGGGATTGTGGGCCGCTGCAGCCAGGGCACCCCACTCAGCTGTAGGCTATGCCAGGCCCTTCCCTGTCTTTGCCCAATGCTAAATAGATTGCCCTGGTCCCCACATATGGCTCCTGTGCTGCATTGGTCATGCTGCACTGTGCCAGCGCTGTGCTGAGGACTGCCAACGTGAGGTGGCGTGGGCCCAGATCTTTAGCTGAGCTGCGTCACCCTGAGACATCTGTCTGTGTCCTTCCAGCTATTCCGTGACCTATTGAGAGAAAGGTGTAGCTGGAAGAGTCAGCTTCTTAGGAGACTGAGGTGGAACTGGGGGCCAAGAAGACTTGGGGATGGTGGAGAAGGGGGCCTTGGCCATGGGCTGCAGCTGCTGCTAAACCTGAGTGGTGATGACCCTTCCTGGAGGAGCAGAGGCAGCTAGTGCCCCTCCTGGCACCTGGGGCTTCTGGGTTGTGGGTGGAAGGAGCAGTCTTTGTCTGGTGTGGCCTGGAGAGGAACCTTCTTCTCTCAGGGGTGAGAAGACTGAACCAGAAGATTCTAGAAAGCCCTCAGAGAAGCATCCCGTTCCCTTGGGGCTTCAGATGGAAGCTTGTTACTGAGATGGACTGCCTGAGGCGGGAACCCCATCCACCGTCCAGGTAACTCTGTCCTTTGAGGTCTGGAGCCTGCTGAGAGCCTCAGCTACACCATAGGCCACCAGCCCGAACTGCTCCCTGTCAGCAGGGTATCCAACGGCAACCCAAAAGTTCTCTGGTCTGCCTAACACCCACCTCCACTCCCCTCTCCCAGCCATCCCTTCCAAGCAGGGGCACCCACCGGTGACAACAGTCACTTCACACAACCCAGGTCTCCCACCCAAGGGCCAGAGACGGATGTCCCGTAAGAAAGGTTTACTTTTTGGTGTCATGCTTTCTCCCCAGCAGGCCCCTTTGTTCCCTCCCAGGACCCTGCTGGCAGCGTGTCCACATCAGTCCTCCCGCCTCACCCAGTATGGCCACCTGGCCAGCGTGCGGGAAAGCTGAGGGTGGTATGAATCTTCAGGCTGTGGAGGGAGGTTGGATTTTCATCGCCATGATACAGAAGCTGAAATCTAGGGATTCCCCACACAGCAGCCGCAGACGCGAGCTCTCGTTAAACAGAAGAGGAATCACAGAAACCCGGGAAAGGAAAACAAACCTTCAAAGGAGAAATTTCACTTCCATGACACCATTAATCATCCATTTTTTAATTAGGAAAAGCTCCCTAATGAGGCACTTTCGCCAGCTAATAGGACTCTCAATTTCCATGAGAACTATTCTTGCCCAGAGGATTAGGGGACTCATTGCTCACCAAACCCAGATCTCTCCCCGGTGTCCAATTTCGTTTGCAAATAATGCAGGTTCCCGAGCACAGCGGAAGCCCTTTCCTGGCATCCTGCGTGTTGCTCCCAGGGCTGACTGGAAAGCGCGGGTACTCCTCTGCCTTAAAAAACAGTGCCCGACACTGAACTCCCCCCCCACCGCCCCCACTTCCCCCACCACAAGGACTTAAGTGGAAAACAAAACAGAACACAAGCTGTAACGTTTGTTTCTAAATATTTTTGTATTGTGTACATTCTGTATATTTTTGTTGTAACATATTATTTGAGCACAGATTCCATTAAAGATTTTTTTTTTAAGGCATTGGTGATTCAGAAAGTGACCTGAAGGGCTGGCATTGGAGCCTGTTTCATCTCGGTCTGGGTCAGGGGAAGGGGAGAGGGTGGGCAGCAGGAGTGGTGGGGTCTGTGATTTATACAGTACGAATCGGGCATTGGTTCTTGGTGCCCGTGTTTCGGGTTTGGTGGTTCTTAACCTTTCTGGAGTTACTGCGCGCTTTTGAGTGGTTGATGAAAGCCATGATTTCTCTTCCTATAAACAGATAGACCGTTTTGTGTATCATTGGGGGAGGAGTGGCTGTGAATAAGGCAACTGACCCATGGCCTTAGGTCCAGAACCTATGTGCCTGCTGTCTGTCCTGGCTTCTCCTTCCATCTTACTCTATACCCCCATGAGCGATGAATACTTTGACTACTATTCTTGGAGGAATCTTCTTTGAAATTTTCTAAGTCCGTGTACTTCCTTCTTTACCCTGATAGCCTAGGCTTTAGGTCTTTCTGGGGGCTGTCAACACCTTGATCTTGAGGAAGGAACAGGAATGTTCTCGGGTAAAAGGGCGTGGTCGATTCACATACAGGAGGAGACAAGAGGAGCATAAACGTTAAAGGTCAGTCTGGTGCTTGGTAAGTTTAACAATCAAGTGCACTTGGAATAGATGCAGCCTGAGAAAGTGAACTGTTTCCACGCATTTTTCTAAACCAGTGGCAGTGTATGTAGCTTTGCCATTCAACCGTTAAATTTTGTTTGAGGATTAAACTACCCTGTTAAATTCAGCATGGGAGTTGTTTCCGGTAATGTTCTTTCACACCAGTTTCCTGTGTATCATTTAAAGATATTTCTGGGGCTGGCCGAGTGGCTCAGTTGGTTAAGAGCATGAACTCTAAGCAACAGGGTCGTCAGTTTGATTCCCACATGGACCAGTGAGCTGCGCCCGAGCTGAGCTGCCAACAGGCAGCCGGATGACTCAGCTGGTCAGAGCACGTGCTCCTAATAACAAGGTTGCCAGTTCGACTCCCACATGGGATGGTGGGCAACTAAGCTTGAACACGGCACCTTGAGCTGAGCGGCCACGAGCTGCTGACAGGCGGCTGGATAGCAACTGGACTTGAAGCTGAGCTAGCTGCGCCCTCCACAACTAAGATTGAAGGACAACTTGGCTGCTCCCCTTCCCCAATTCCCCAACACTGTTGCCCTTCCCCGATTCCCCAATATAAAATATATACATATATATATACTCATATATGCATAAATATATGTATGTATATGATATATATACGTCATATGTATATATTATATTATATATATATCATATATATTTTTTATATATCACAAACAAATATATATATATATATATATATATATATATATATATGTTTCTGAATGCTACAGAAGTCATCCCAAAACAAACTTTGGAGTACAGTGCAGGCTAAGTCAAAGAACCCACTTTTTAAAAAAATTTTATTGGGGAACAGTGTGTTTTTCCCATTCTCGCTGATGGGAGCTGAGGACCCATCAGCTCCAAGTCAACTAGTTGTTTCAATCTAGTTGTGGAGGACGCAACTCAGTGGCCCATGTGGGGATCGAACTGGCAACCTTGGTGTTAGGAGCACTGTGCTCTAACCAACTGAGCTAACCGGTGGCCCCAAAGAACCTACTTGGAGAGTAAAGTGACTTTCCTATGAGGAAAGTTGGGACCCTGTCTGAGCAGCAGTGTTCCCAGGAGTCAGTCCTGGGCTCCATCACCTGAGGCACGTAAAGGCAGGCTCCCTGGACAGCCCTGAACTGTTCTGTTCGCTTTGCCTTCGGCCTCCTAGCACTTCCCTTTTCACTTTTCTGGTTCCTCCCTTCTACCAGATTCTCATTCTTCCGATAACTTCATAAGATGTTTACCGATAATGTAATTATGAAGAGAATTTACTGAGTACCTACTATGTACTAGGCACTGGAGGAAGCATTTTCAGTATCTTATCCTCATTTATTGTACAGCTACTTGGCGTGAAGTGTGTATAAATAGCCCTATATTGACACATGAGGGGAAGGCTTAGGGAAGTTTAGTACCTTGCTGGTAGTATGTAGCATGGCTGGATTCATCCCCAAGACTGCCTGGTTGCAAAGTTCATGCTCTCAGCACTCAGGTGTGTGTGTAGGACTTCAAGGTCACTAAATCTGTAGAAGTGTCAGAGTGTTCGTTTAAAGATCCAGTCTCACTGTAGTAAGGCCATCCAAGAACAGTAATGAACTTTGGAACATTCACTCAGTGTTCACTTAACAGAATATCCATTTTGTCTTCCCTCCTAGAAACCGTTTACAGGAAAATCCACAGCTAGCAATTCGTTACTGCCCCCTATCACCCTCGATTTCCAGAATCTAGCACGTATGCCAACTCAGTGATTTAAAGTCTGTGAGCCCCAATTAGGAAGTTCAGCAGTTACAGAACTAGAGCTGCCCTCTTAGACCTCCAAGTGGAAAGACTTCACTGAAGCCAGTGGGGTTTCTATTACTGAGAAGACACATGGTTAGGAAAGTGTAGTCCTGGTAACTGAATCTTATTTTCGAGAAGCCTGAAGGCTCTTCTGGCATCTGGTATAAGTGATCCTCTGGTAAAAGACAGGCATTCTGTCATGGTTAATAATGAATGAGAGTGAAAGGAAGTGACCTGGGTTATTGCATTCTACAGGTGTAACTTTACTGGACAATGAATAAAACATGGCGATAGAAATTGCTCTTACACCCTGCCTGATGCCTCTTGTAAGGTTCAGAAAGATGTATCCCAGCAGGTGATTAGATTTTCAACAAATTCCTTAACAAGTATAATTTCCACATAAACTTGATGTGAATTAATAAAAATGTCAGGCCTGAGAATTGAGCTCATTAAATAAAACTGACTGCATTGGTGAGAAGCTGTTTTATTATCATTATTAGTAGTAGTAGTAGTATTACAAATATAATTACAGATAAACAAACCATTTTTGATACATGGCAAACATACATTTCCTCTGTGTGTATAGCACACAAATAATACATAAGCGTATTCCACACTGAACAAATCCTTTCCAAAACTTTAAAAGTTAATACATTTAGCTTATTCAGATTTGAATACAGTACATATTCTGGTCGTGAGCTTTTTGAGTTTCTTTTCATGGCCAACAAAACATTCAATTTCATGTCCTTGTCTAAAGTAGTGATACAGTTTGTCACACTTTTAAAATAAGACTGTATTATATACAACTGTATTGTAGTGAGCCTATATTACAAAATATATGTGTGTGTGTGTGTGTTTGTGTGTATATATATATATACATGTATGTACATATAAAGAATATATAAGCAGGGCCAGCTGAGTGGCGCATTGGTTAGGAGTTGGCTTGGGACGGCAGCTCTGAGCAGCAGGGTCCCGGTTCGGATCCCACATGGGGGCCAGTGACACCGCCCTCTACAGCTAAGATGCTGAACAACAGCTCCACCTGGAGCTGGGCTGCTGTGAGTCGCCGGGAAAGGTGTAGGCTGCAGTGGGGCTGCAGTGGGCTGCCGGAAGCTACCATGAGTGGCTGACAGCCAGTATGAGCAGCTGGCAGCCGGCGTGAGCTGCCAAGAGCCACCAGGCCACCTGATGGCCAGCAACCAATCTGCCTCACCCGGGAAAAGCGCAATGATAATACCAACATGGGCCAGTGAAGCGACATCCTCCACAACTAGACTGAAGAACAAAAGGACAGCAACTTGTCTGTTCCCCTTCCCAGATTCCTCAATGCTGTTCTCTTCCCCCAATTCCCCAAAATCTTAAAAAAAAAGAAAAAAGGAATATATAATTATACCTTGATTATGTCCATAAATTACTTAAAACAGGTAATACATTTGCTTTTAAATGCCATTTACAACATGGACTCTTGAATGACATATGAATTTGAAAAAGAAAAATATGTTTTCCAAACTCAAAATGCTGATGTCCTAATGTTATTTATTTAAAAAATTAATTTCCAAGCAGGCAACCAAGTACATTAGAAAAAGTCGATGCAAGGGTAGTGCCATAAAATTGCTTATTTCCCATAGTCATTCTGAATTTAATGCTATAAAAATATGCTACTTGGATTTTTTTTCCAACACTGCCTACCATCCAAGTTATTAAAGTTTAAAACCATATGAAAGCCTTTATGAAGATCCTAAATTGTATTTCTCATTAAAGGAAAAGAAATGGCTTGCTGAGTCATGTCCCTAGACTTCTGTAGAAGAGAAAGCAGGTTGTTGTCAGTCATTTTGGAAGTTAAAATTCAGCACTTAGTGGGAATTTATATGAGTTTAGAAGAGGATTTTTATGGGCTCGTATTCCTCCAAGCATCCTGAGGGCAGTGAAAACACAAGACTTCTGATCTTCTAAACAAAAATCATTATCAAATGGATTTATTAAAGAGTTATGCAGAACAGGGCCGGCTGAGTGGCTCAGTTGGTTAAGAGCTCGCTCAAGAGTTTGAGCTCTGAGCAACAGCAGTTCGATGCCCGGCCTGAGCTGAGCAGCCGACAGGTGGCAGGATGGCTCAGTAAAAAAAAAAAAAAAAGTTATGCAGAACAAACTGCAATCGTGTGTGTAGCTACAGTTGGTTTCCATGGGAATTATAAATGGCTCTAGCTGTGGGCACTTTCAACTGATTCAGAGTAAAACATGAAGCTTGTAAGAAAGTACAAAAAACTAACATCAATGAGTAACTCTGATATGAAGAATCTGTTAGTATTCTTTATGTTACAGCTTGTAAAATGTATGTACTTTGTTTCATTTTTAACATTCTGTTTACAAACTTAGCATTTTTATACAAAACAAAAAAATACAGGCTCTTGGCTAATACCTATGAACAAATGAATGAAAAAAAGTGATGAGGGCCACTTCCCCAGTAGCTTTCCATCAGAGAGAATGTTTATCTTGAAGTGAGTGCATCTGTTTTTTAAAGCTCATTTAATTTCTTACACACTCATGATTTATCTGTATATTGACTTAAAAGCTGGCTTCATCATCCATGCCATTATCAATCAGACAAGAAAAATCTATCAAGCACCCACAGGATGCACAGATCTGTCTTTGAAATGGTGTCATGGTGCTAATCTGTCCTAAGACTAAGAGTACATTTTTTCGAAAAGAAGCTATAGTACATTGAAAAAGAAGTGTTATGATTTTTCTGAGAAGATTGCTAAATACTGCAGCAGACTCCTGAGAGAAGCCACTAAATCACCTTGGAAGTTTTTCAGCAACAACTCCCTGAAGTCCAGAATTTATGGGACCAGCAATGTACTAAAATTCCACAACTCGTTAACACACATTTATCTAAGACGCAGAGAAGACATTCCTCAGATTTTCATGTCTAATTCAGTTAAATTTTAAAAGTACAAAATGAAAAAATCTAGAATGCATTTCAAATCTTAAACAGCAATCCTATGACAATTATAATTACTGCAATTTCAAACACCAATACTGGAATATACAACTTCACAATACAGTTATCTCAAAACCTATGATCAAAAACTTTGCGCAAGAGCTTCTTTCATAAATTCTTCAAGGACGGCTACCACATTTTTGGCTTCAGGCATTTCTTCATGTTCCACTTTAACAATCTTCAAAAGGATATCTCCACTACCACAGTTCTTTAGGAACATGTAACATTTAAACAAAGCATAATGATTCATTTCTGCCTGTCGGATAAATCTCTTCAAATTATTTGTGTCTTGTATCGCCTAGAAAAAGATTACCCAGTTAAATATGTGTTTACTGAGATAATAAAGCCTGAAAAATATCTCCTATCCAGCTGAAAACTCAATATATGTTGCTGAGATGTTTGCTTTATAGTTTAAATATTTCTGTCATTTTTATTGCTAGTATGTTTCACTCTTGGCAGAACAAAAATCTCATATAAAGTAAAAAAGTTCCTAAATAAGGTGACAACACTCCTCCCCACCAGAAGTTTGAACCCGTAGAAACTGAGTCACTTTTTTTGTTCTTTCCAAGTAAGCTATGTCACAAATTATGAGATTGATGTCCCTGAGATATAAGCAAGCATTCAACTCAATTAACTGGAAATGGAGTGATATAAATGCAGAAGCCACTGAAACACATAAAGTAAATGCCTTCTAAGGATTTAGTTTTGAGAACCTCCTATTTAATAGACATCACAGCTGTAAAGCAGATGTGTTAGTCTGTCACTGGTACTAATTAAAATTCAGACAAAAATTATATGTGGCACTGGCACACAGACAGTTAATTACCTTTAGTTTAAAGTTCTCCAGTACTTGTCGAAAAAGAAAAGGGTTACCTCCTTCAGCACCATTCAAAAAAGCCTGCATCCAATCCTCACAAAACCGGTTGCTTCCTGGAAAATATTTTAGAAAAATTAAATAAAAAAATCCTGCAAAGCACAATCATTTATTCTTTTTCTTTCTATTTATTTAAAATTGAGGTATAATTGACATATAGCATGATATTAACTTCAGGTGTAGAACAGTGATTTGATATTTGTATACATTGTGATATTCTTTCTTTATAAAAACACTTGTAATGAATTAAGACTGCTATCACAGTCTAAGAAAATAGTGTACTCACCACCTGGCTAAGAAATACCAAAGTATTTGAAGCCCCTATGTGCCGCTTCCCAAATGCATCCCTCTCCTTTCCCATCGGAAAGGATTTTAATTCCCATGTTATTTCTTTAAAACTCTTGCTACATACTTTAAAAAAAAAAAATATATATATATATATATATATATATATAAACTTTATATAGTATGATTTTGCGTATGTTAAAACTTTTTATGTATTTTTCTTTAATGGCTGTTTCACTAGTATGTTTGTGAGCTACACAGACACATGTAACTCGTTTGTTCATTTTCGTTGCTATATAGTATTCCATTGCATGACTATAGCAGTGTATCAATTTTCCTGTTGATAGGTATTTAAGTTGCTTCCAATTCTTTGCTGTTTCAAACAATACCTTTACGAACATTTTTTATTTGTCTCCTTGTATACATATACAAGAGTTTCTCTATATACTTAGAAGTGGAATTGCTAGGCATGACGTGATTTCCATGTTTCTAGAACTGCTATTGGTTTTGGTGAATTTGGGATAAACATGTAAAACTGCACAAGGCAGGAAGGGTAAGTTTGTACCATTTGTTCTCAGTGCAAAAACAGTGGCTGCCAAGAGCCCTAGGACACCTGCTTCAGAGGTTGTGGCTCACCTGCATTGTAGAATTGAGGCTGGGAGCTACTGCAATCGATGACCACAGACTTATGCTGCTCCTCCGTCATGGCCATGCACAAAGATGTCATGGTGCCCTCGTGAATAAGGCCTTGGAGACTAGCCACACTCAGAAACCTGCCACATACACAGTCCTTTTCCACAAACAATATTGAAGGATGGGAGGAAGAAAGCAATAAAAACATACATTTCAGGCTTGCTGCAGAAAAAGTTCTCTCTTTGCAAAACTGTTCTTTACCTGTTAATGTCTCTCTTTGTTTTTTCATCTGATTCTTTAACCTCAACAGGAGTATAACTCAGAGCCTACGAGAGAAAAATAAAGCCTAATTGATACATGTATTCCAGTTTTCCTTACTGAGCAGCTACTTGTGACTAAACGTCACCTTCCCCCAAACCACCACATGCCTGGTGGGTACTGCCCAGGAGCTCTCCAGAGAGCCTTGTTCAGCTGCTGCTCACAAACAGTCTGAAATTTGGTTTTCCCACCTGGTCTCATGAGGCCATCCGGTCTCAGCTGCACCTACCCATCACACATTTAAACGAAAAACTTGGCTGTTTACTCAAGCCTTCCCCAGTATCTGGCTATTTTAGTGCACTTTTTTTTTCGTGAATTTTTTACATGGACATTTTTATCTAGTTAAAATCACTTTGGGTTTTTGTTTTCCTTCTCAAATGGTTTTGGAACTTACACCTCTCCCAGATCATTTCAAAAAGTAATTATTTAAAAATGTTTTATCCTATTAGGAAGACTAATTATTTGCAATTCTACCTTAGTAATGTAAGTTTTAGATCTGAGTAAATAGAGGGTGGTCTATCCTGATTGCAAGCATAGCTTGAATGAATATTCGGCGGGGGAGGCGGGTAAGAAATGTTAAAATGTATATGTCTGAGCAATAGACTTGCCGGTTCGATTCACAGCCCGAGCTGAGGTGCCACTGAGCTGCCAACAGGTGGCAGGATGGCTCAGCTAAAAAAAAAAAAAAGAAAGAAAGAAAGAAAGAAAGAAAAGAAAAAGAAAATGAAAATGAAAATGAATGTCTTGGGCCAGCCGAGTGGCATGGTGGTTAAGAGCTGGCTTGGGACGCCAGAGAGCCCCAGTTCGGATCCCACATATGAAGGCCAGTGACACTGCCCTCTACAGCTAAGATGCTGAACAAAAGCTCAACCTGGAGCTGGGCGGCCATGAGTCGCCGGCAACGGCGTAGGCTGCAGCCCCTGCTGCAGTGGGTTGCCATGGGCTACCGTGTGTAGCCAGCAGCCAGCGTGAGCGGCTGTCCAGAAGCTGGTGACTGATCTGCCTCGCCCAGGAAGAGCGCTATGATGGTGCCAACTTGGGCCAGTGAAGCAACGTCCTCCACAACTAGACTAAAGAACAAAAGGACAGCAACTTGTCTGTTCCCCTTCCCCCAATTCCCCAGTGCTGTTCCCATCCCCCAATTCCCCAATTTAAAAAAAAAAATTTTTAAAAAAAAAAAAAATGAATGTCTTTAAAGAATCCAAACTCTGCCAAAGTGATTCTCGATTAAGGAAACACTTTTTGGGCAAGACTTACAGCATGTAGCAGAAAGGTGAGCTTCTCCTGAAAGAGAAGAACTACCCGCTGGATTGGGCATATGACATCCTCAAACCAGCTGCTCAGGTAGGACTTGATGTGGTTCTCCAGGCCCCTTTCCTAGATCAAGAGACAATGTCATTTGCTTTAATATAAGCCTTCACCTTAGTGGGCTTAACACTTTCTCATGATACTCTTGACAGTGAAAAGAACTGGGGACAGACCCCTCTTTTTTTTAAGCTAACACCACCACTCAAAAAAAGGAATTGTGATAGAACTTCCCTGGGCTGGATGGGCAGAGTGGGGATTAATTTTATACTGAATTTCTTAAAAACACACTAAGAAATTATATAAAATAAAGAGACTGAATTAATAGGGTTCTATGCTGCTTCACTGGGAATTGTGCATTTACATGTCCATCTCCCCACAGTATACTGTATACTCACTGGAGATACTCTCTTAATAATTCTTGTCTTCCCAGCACCTGGTACAGTGTCTGAAACCTCTATGTATAAGCTTATAAAATGCCTATTTAATGACTGAAGGAATGTAGACAGTTCATTCACACTCAAAATGTGAACAGGGAAGGATACAAGTTAACTCATCAAAGCATGCAAGCCCACTCCAGTTGTTAGACATGCTGCCATGAGCACATCTGGCTTTCTAGGCTGTGCTGCCTTCTGGGGACTAGTGGAATAGCTCCAGTCTGGGAGAGTAGCTCTCCCTAGATTGATATCCCTGGCTCACTCATATGCTAGCCTTTCCTCCCCTGCAGTGTCTTATAAGTGCATGATAAGTAAAAGGAATTATTATCATATGTAATGGTAGTAAATTTATAAGAATTATGGCTTTAACAGCTGCTACAAGCTGAATGCATAGTTTTTTAAAGATATGGATAAATGAATAGATATGGATGTTATCTAATTCATAAAAGATCCATTAATGAAAAATGGATTGTTTCTAAAAATCTTTGATGTTGAGTTCAAGGGCAGTCATACCACTGCATAGCATGTCTTTGGTGCCAGAGGCTTCGTGGACCATTAGTTCTGACTACAATATAAATCTCATGTGCCTAAAAATCAGGAAAAGAGCATCCTCTTCCTCGCTTGGCATGCTACCATACACTATTGAATTTAATGGATTGAATTTTTCACGGATACAAAACATCAGAAGCAGTCTTGTAAAACTTATAGCTTTTATAGGACTATATTCCCTGCATCCCTTAACAAGTACCTTTCAACTAGCCCACAAAGTAGCACGGTTTTAGAATTTAGGTGTCTTTGTGACCCCCTGTATAATTTGACAAGTATAGCAGTTACAGTAGGTTAATCAACTCAGTCTTTAAAAACTATTGAATGAATCCTCTTACCTCACAGTTCATGTTATTTTTCAGCCCTTGAATGTACTTGTCCAATTCAAGCCTGAAAGTATGTTCTTAAGGAAGTCACACAGGATGAATCAAGATCGTATCTCATCTCTCAATAGAAATATAAAATCTTGCAAATAACACAAACTAAATTAAAATAAGCTAAGACAAACTGGTCATATGAAGGTATGTAATTCAAGTAAATGCATAAGGGGTAGGAAAGCTTTGTGGAGGTTAGTAGTAATACTCCTCCACTTGACTTCTGGCAGTTTCCTTCCTGACATCCTCAAAGACCAAAGAAAGGATATAGCTCAAGTCCTTTTTCAGACCCTCCTAAAAAACAGACCACATACTCTGAAAGATTGTGTTCAGAGTCCATTGTTGCTGTTTCAGGGAGCAGTTTTTCTTGTTGAAAAAGGCAGTAATAACAACCGACCCGATAACCTGGAATTCTATAAAAGAAAAAAGTACATTGTATTATTTTGATAAATCATGCATATAATTTTGTGAGCTGCTCCAAACCATGGTCATCTTGATCTGGCAATACTGTTATATTGCCAACTAGGTCAGAACTTTCCAGACTTCTCTTTGGTTCACTTGTAACATGAACATACACCATGATGGGCTTTAGCTAAAGCATCACCTAACAAACATGGAATTTCTTTTTAATTTGGCTATGTGAAAAATTCATGCATATTTCACTCTTGTTCATAGTATATCCATGTTTACATAAATACAACCATGTTCTTTTCCTCCCTCAAAACGCCATGGATCACTGAAGCTCTAGGCAGATGTGGCATGTTTATCTTGTGGCCTCATCTTTGACCTGTGGCCTCATATTCCTGAGTGGACTTGATGCCAACATCATGATCTGAAGTGAACTACAATCAAGGGGTGTAATGGAAAGACGGCTGGAATTCAACTGAGGACACCTGTATGTAAGCCTGAACTCCATCGATGTAACGAGCCTTGTGACCTGAACTCTGAGTTTATTTCCTCATCTGAAAATGTAAGTAAGAGGATCTGCTCTATTGCCCGCTTTGTAGGGAGAATGGCATCAAAGTTCGTGAAAGCACTTTACAAACTGTAGAGTATCTGATTTTAGTTTTGGTAATTAATTCTTTTCTTCCAAGTAAGACTAAATGAGTACACTTAGGAGGCAGTCTCTGCCATTCAATTAATTCCACTCCACAAATGTTGATGTGGAAGGCCCAGTGCTCGGGCAGGCAGAGAACAAAGGTGAATTTTGCAGGACTGGTGGGAGCTCTTTTGGAGTTTCTCGTCACTTCTCATATTTAGGTCAGAAATAAAAACTGAGGACACAGCACATTTTACACTTACCTCAGCTCCACAGATGCAACATTACCCAGCCCTTCAAAGACTGCTCCCTTAGAAAGACGCTTAGCAATGAAACTGCGCAGCTCTGGCTCCACTTCAGATGGTAGATTAGTCTCCGCCAAAGAGAGGCTTGATAAATAAAAGACACACACTCCTTACCGGTGGCCTACTGCATTCACAACCCATAAATCAGATTATTGCTAAAAGCCAGAGTCCCTTTAAGGACTTGAAAAACTTTCTGTCTGACTCCTCTTGGGGAGGCTCCTAGGAATGTATGTCACCAAGTATGAGCAAACTCATCACACAGTTTAAAATTATACTCCTTCCAGCTCATTCTCTCTAGTATTATGACTCCACTGGGACCCTCCCCAATCCACCGACCTTACCTTTTTTTCACAGTCCCTTAAGTTTCTCATCTCACTTCCCTTCTTCTTATCCAGCTTAAATTCCATGGCCAGTCATTATAATCACACCCCGCCACAAATTCTCATTTAACCCCTTGGTTGCTTTCACCTCATGTACTGGCTTAACAAAACTTCAGGCCTGATGAATCCAGCTCTCTACCTACTATGCACCTGCATCTATGCAGTTGGATCTCGTTGGACAAAAATTGCACCTACAATGTCTAGTCTCCGTTTAAATTAATGGTTACTAGCCTCAAGTGGGCCCTTACTGCTGACCAGATATCACTGTATTTCCTAGTTCACTCACTCTTCTACTCTCCTAGGTCACTATTTCATGCCTCCCCTTCTTTCCTCAATCATCTAACTACCTGTTATCCATGAATAAACACACTATTTTAGCAATCGTTTATGAGCTAAAGATAAAAATTTTAGTTTGGTTTAGATTGTAGCATAAACAGTCTATAATTTGAATATGCAGGAAGAAAAGGTCTTCCACCATAAACCTTCCCAATAGAGATCATGAACCCAATACTTCACAAGGTCTTTTGTTTTGTGTTAGGGAAAATTTCAAACACATGAAAAGCAGAGAGACTAGTATAATGACTGCACATGAACCCACTACCCAGTTTCGACAGTCATCAGCTTGTGGCCAATCTTGTTTCATCTGTACCCTCATGCTGTCTGCACCCTCCCAACTTCCAGATTTATTTTGAAGCAAGTCCCAGGCATCATATCATTTCATCCATAAATTTCTCACTAGGCATCACTACTTTGCATCAAGTCTTGTTTCATTCATTCATCCATTCATTCATTCATTTAATAAATACGTATTCAATGTCTACTCAGTGCCAGATACCACTCAAGGTACTAGGTAGGGAGACATCAATGAACAACAGAGACAACAATCCCTGCTGTCCTGGAGTTTATATGCTAGTGTACAGCAGAGGAGCTAGAAAAGGGCATTCTAATGGGGGGGAAAAAGGAAGATTTTAAATTTCTTGGTACTCATAGGATATTGAATCTTTACTGGAGTTCCTTCCAATCAAGAAAACTCAGAATGTTTTTGGTTAGCCTCCCCGGGGCACTATCAGTATTTGGGTTTGCCCCAGGTTTAAATGAATGAACTAATGAGGAAATCATGATGAGGTTCCTAGGAGATCGGTGGCCTTGGTGATTTGACTCAGGGCAAGCTGAGTGGAAAGGGGGTATACCCAATGACTTCGACAGGCCAGGGATGCACGGAAAACACAAGCACAAGCATGGGTCATGGTCAAGCTGTTTTTACCTGAAATCATCACCACTGGGAGTTTCTGCATTTGTGCCACTTGGGCTTCCATCATCACCACTGTCCCCTCGCTGCTGTGCCAATCTGCACGCCGCAAAAAGCAATAAAGCTATCAATTATGGGCTCTAAGACAAGCCCAGTATATGGGCCCCCGCCAACAGGGTAGGGGCGAACAATCAACTAAAAATGCTGCCAGCTAAAAGTGCATGGGTCCGTTGCCTATCCTCATAAGGAAAACCCATAAAACAGTTGATAAAAAGCTTGGTAAAAGCTCCTTCTCCAGGCCACCTAAGAGGTGGAGGAAGGGAAATTAACTATTTAGAAAAATCAAGGAAATTTCCACGGGAGGGGGGTGAGACAGACTTTAAAGGGCCAAGAGTGGCCCAGTGGAGTCCGCTGGGCAGAGGAAATAAGAGGCAGCAAGGACAGAGGATAAACAGAGGATCGGGGTGGGGGTGAGGATGTGGGGGGTAAATGGAAGAAAGTTGGGAGATAATGACAGGAAGGACAGGAGATGGAAATCGACATTATTGAGCATGCGAGGCACTGTGCTAAAAAAAAAAAAAGGCACGGGAGACAAGAAGGGGCAGAGAAAATGACAAGGATAGAGGGTAGAGAAAATGACAAGGATAGAGCGCAGAGGCTTAGGAAGGAAGGCCAGGCACAAAAGTCCCGGATGCGGGCCCGGAAGAACGGCGTGAGGCCAGGAGGGCCCTTCAGGCAAAAACCCTCCACTGGAAAGTAGATGGCGTTTGAGAGCGGCCAGGCCGCCGGGCCAGGGGTGCGATGCGGCACCGGGTCGGGGACACAGGGACGGCCTGGCGCTGCACCTGCTTCCGCGGTAGCTGTAGAGACAGTAGTGGCTGCTGGGCGGCGGCTCGAGTCTCCGCTCTTCGGCGGAGCCACCCTCTTCGCTGCTCTCTAGCTCCTTGTCATCCCCATCCAGCGATTCCTGCAAGGAAGGGAGCATCGCGGCGGCCTCCACGCGGCCCTGTGTCCCCGCCAAAGCGTTCCCCCGCTGCCGTACAGTGCTCGGGGGCCAGGCTCGTCCGGCTCCCGGCCCTCGCGCACCTGCGTTCCGCTGGTTTCCCCGGGTTCTCAGGGGAGGAAGCGGGCCAGGAAGGCTTATCTCCCCGTAGGGACTAGCGGGCATACTAAATTAGCTTTACGGAAAAACGGTTACCATTTCTCTTTTAACTCCTTTTTCTCCTCTGTCGTTTAAGACGCCTAGGACACCTAGTATGTGATAAAGATGGGACAACTAGCTAGGCACATGGAAAAGAAGACTAAAGCTGCCCTCCAACTTCCTTTCAGGCGCGCAAACACACACGCACACACCAGTTTGATCAAACATTTCAGAATTAAAACTGACACCCACTTCCTTTAAAAAAAAGGGGGGGGAGGTGTGAAAATATGGGAGAATTTAAAAAATTCTTGAAGAAGTCCTTTCTAAACATAACAAAACATTTAGAAGCCATACGGGAAAAGATTAACATTTAGAAGCCATACGGGAAAAGATTAACATTTAGAAGCCATACGGGAAAAGATTAACATTTAGAAGCCATACAGGAAAAGATTAATCTGATTACGTAAGCACTGAACATTCCTGTGTGGCCCACGTCAAAAACACAAATGACAAGCTGGGAAAAATATTTTCAACATATACAATAGATGTACGGCTGTCGTTTGTCAATAAACAAACAACAACAAAAAGTAGACAATAGGCAGTTCACAGAAGAAATGAAAACAAAGAATACATAAATAAACTGCTCAACTTCAAATAAAATTTATGGTACACTGTAGGACGTTTTGCCTAGCAGATCAGCAGAGATTTAAAAGTTCGATAATACTCTGTGTTGAAGTGTGTGAGGAAGTAGTCATTCTCCTAAACAGTTGATAGGAATAAAATTAATGCACATGCTTTGGAAAGAAATTTGAAAGTATCTATGAGTATTTTAAATGCACATGACCTTTGACTATCAACGCAACAACACCAGGGCATCATCATATAGCTAAACTCACATAAGGGCAAAAATATATGAGTCCAAAGGTATTCATCGAAGCATGGTTTGTAAAGATGAAAATCTAGACACAATCTGAATGTTGGTCAATAGGGGACTGATTAAATAAGTTATGGTACATGCGGTGGTAGGCAGAATAATGTCCCCGAAAAATGTCCTCGTCCTAATCTCCAAAACCCGAGAATATGGTACGTCACATAGCAAAAGGGCCTTTGCAGGTGTGATTGAAGATCTTGAAATGGGAAGGTTATTTTGGATTATTCAAGTGTGCTCAATGTAACCAAAAGAGTCTTTATAAGCGGGAGACAGGAGACCAGAGAAGAGAAGGCTATTGTGATACCTAAAGTGGAGAATGGAGTGATTTGGGACCACAAGCTGAGGAATTCTTGCATCCTCTAGAAGCTAGAAAAGGCAAAAACCAGATTCTCCCCTAGATCCTTCAGAAGGAACTCAGCCCTGCTTACCCATTTCAGACATCTGACCTCCATAATTGTAATATAATAAATTTGTGTTGTTTTAAGCCACTAAGTTTGTGGTCATTCGTTACAGTAGCAATAGGAACTAATACACATGTGTATCAGAAGACCACACAGCTATTAAAAAGAATGAATTAGAATATATATATGCACATATAGAAAGACAACCCAGTATTTAAGTTTTTGTTCTAAAGAAGCTGGCAACACAACTGAAGGTGTAAGGCATGCACATGGGGAAGGACAGAATGGGATTACTGCCGAGAAAGTAATGTGGACAGTTGGGGTGATCTGGCTTCTTGACGATTGATGGACATAATCTGAGGATGCTAGGCTTTGCAAGTTCATCTATCAACTGACAATATCAATAATATCAATGTAGCATTTATAGTTTAACAGCTACCATTTATTTAGCAGTAACCGTGGCCCAGGATTTGTACCTATTTTATTTCATTTATTCTTGAACCAACGGGGAAGGTTATCCTCATTTTATATATGAGGAAACTGAGGCTCAGTCAATATAAGTGATCAAAGTATGTCTATCTGACTCCCAAATCCATACTTTTTTTTTTTTTAAGATTTTTATTGGGGAATTGGGGGAGGGGAATAGTGTTGGGGAATTGGGGGAGTGGAACAGCCAAGTTGTTGTCCTTCAGTCTTAGTTCTGGAGGGCGCAGCTAGCTAAGCTCCAAGTCCAGTCAGCTCAAGGTACTGTGTTCAATTAGTTGCGGGTGGGCGTAGCCACCATTCCATATGGGAGTCAAACCAGCAGCCTTGTTGTTAAGAGCACACACTCTATCCACTGAGCCATCCAGGCGGCAGCTCAGCTCAAGGTATCCAGTTCAGTCTTACTTGCGGGTGGGTCTAGCCCACCATTCAAACTGGCAGCCTTGTTAGGAGCATGTGCTCTCACCAGCTGAGCCATCCTGCCATGTTGGCAGCTCAGCGGGAGCTCAGCTTGGGTGCAGCATCACTGGCCCATGTGGGAATCGAACTGGCGACCCTGTTGCTTAGAGCCCGCACTCTTGGGCAAGCTCTTAACCAACACGCCACTCAGCCTGCCCCCAAAATTCATATTCTTAACTGCTATTTTATATTGTATTCTCCTGCTTGGGTCTTCGAAACAAACCTGAGAGTAAGGCTCTGATAATGGGACATACAGAAGCCTTCATAATCTAACTTCTACCTCCCCCTCTGACTTCATTTGCTGTCGCCTCCCCCCTTGCTCACTCTGGCCCAGTCACATTTCTTGGTAGTTCTCAAACTCTCTTAATTTTTCCCTCAGTTTGACAGTTTTTAATCTGCCCTTCTCTCTGCCTGCAATGCCCCAGGTATTTGCATGTCTCCTTCCTTCACATCACTCAGGTCTCTGCACAAATGTCACCTCCTCAGATAGACCTCCTCTGACTATCCTATACAAAACATATCCCACACACACCTCCACTGCTGTCCCATCAGTCTATATCCTATCTTTATCAGGCTTACCACACCTGACACTATGTATTTGTCTATTGTCTGTCTCCCTCACTAGAATGTCAGCTTGTTCACTGCTATATCCTCTATCCTAGCACATGGCTTACGGTCTTCAACTGTTTGCTGAATTAATTTAAGACTTTGTAACTCTGTGGCATCCTTCCTTGCATGTTTCATCTCAAGCCATATCAAAGATATTAAAGGTACACCTACATGCCACATTAACTTTACGTAGAATAACAATAGCTAATGCTTACTGAGCATTTATTGTGTGTGAGGGCTCTTTTAAATGCTTTACAAATACTCATTTAATTCTCACAACCCGATGAGTTAGATATTATTATTATCCCCCTTACAGATGAATAAGTCAAGGCCAGTTACTTTTATCCATGGTAAAATAGCTAATAAATAGCAACGGGGCATTCAAACCCAAACACTCTGGCTCTAGAACTCTTAATACCACACAATTGAGTTGCAGATGACTTGTTGACCTAAAATTATGTTTTGTAGCCATTTAATTGAAGTTAATTTCAGGGTTGTTTTGTTTGTTTTCACTTATTTAGATCTTATTTAATTTCTTACAACAATATTTTGGTTTTCAAAATATAAGCTTTGAACTTTTGTTGAATTTATTCCCAAGTTTTATTCTTTTTGATACTATTGTAAATGGAATTGCTTTCTTAATTTCATTTACAGATTGTTTACTGAAAGTGTATAAAAGTACAATTGATTTTTGTATATTGATCTTGTATTGTAAACCTTGTTGAACATTTATTAGCTTTAGATTTATTTTTTTTTTTTTTTATGGGTCCCTTAGGATTTTCCAAATACAAGCAGACTAGTTTGCTAGGGCTGCCATAACAAAGTACCACAGACTCAGTGCTTTAAGCAACCAAATTTATTATCTCACAATTCTGGAGGCTAGAAGTCAAAAATCAAGGTGTCTGCAGGGTCGGTTCCTTCTGAGGGCTGTGGGGGAAGAATCTATTCCAGGTTTGTCTCCTCGAGTCATAGGTAGTAGTTTTCTTCCTATGTCTCTTTACGTTGTCTTCCTTCTATGTATATCTGTGTCTGAATTTCCTTTCTTGTAAAGATACCAGTCATTTTGGAACAGGGCCCACCCTAATGACCTCACCTTAGCGTGATTACCTCTGTAAAGACTATCTCTAAAAAACCTCACATTCTGATGTCCTGGGGATTAGTACTTCAATTGAGTGATTTTTCTTTCTGTGTGTGGGAGAGAGACAATGATCCAATTCTACCCATAACAAGATCATGCCATCTGTGAATAGATGGTTTTACTTCTTTCAATCTGGATTCCTTTTTATCTCTTTTTGTTGCCTAACCACCCTGGTTAGACCACCAGTGTAATGTTGAATAGAAGTGATGAGTGTAGACATCCTTATTTGTTCCATCACCTTCTTTTTGCATTTTTGTTTGGAAGAGCACTGGGCACTACCTAAAATTATTTTTCTTGCTTGCTTATTTTATTTATTTATTTTTTAAAGATTTTTATTGGGGAATTGGGGGAAGGGGAACAGACAAGTTGCTGTCCTTTTGTTCTTCAGTCACTTGCTTATTTTAGAAAGAAGGAATGACCTCCTGTTACTAACTACCCTACTTCAGACCAGTTTCTTCTCTCACCCAGGTTACTGTTATTCTCTGGACTGGTCTCTCTCGCAGGCCCCACCAATCCACTGTTCAGTGTGGCCAAAGTGACTTTTCTGAAACTCAAATCTACTTCAGCTCCACACTTATTAATTCTCTGACCTTGAGTAAATGACTTAAACTGTCTTAAGTCTCTTTTTCATTTATATTAACAAGGTGTTAATAATGGCACCTACATCACAGGCTTATAATGTAAAACTTACAATGCCTGGCACACAGTTAAGTACTCCATGGGTGTCTATTATTTTTTTTCCTTTTACTAGTAACATAATTTACATTAATAGTTATTTCTTTATGCCAAACTCTGTTCTGAGTGCAGCCGGAGGAAGTTTAAATGGCTTGCCTGAAGTCATTGAGGCAGGCAGTTGGCACTGGTGGAAAATGAACCCAAGTACCGGACTCTTAAAAGCACCTCTTAAACGTGTATTATTCTCCAATTGTCCTCTTGAAACTCCTGGGTTGTTTTGCAGACTTCAGCATGAAGTCCAGCTCCTAAGACTGCTGCTGGGATCTCCAGAAATCGCCTGTGCCAGCCTCCCTAGGTTTCTCTCGTCACCAGCCCCCTTACTATGAGCTTCAGCGCTACTGCCCGTGTTTTTCACGTGCTCAGCCTCAAACACGCACTTTCTTGCTTCCATTGACCGTCCCCCCTCCCCCCATCATGGCGCTGACCACACAGCGTTGTTTACGCATCTGTCACCAACCTGTGCGTTACAAGGCTGAAAGAGACTGCGACTTCTTGGACTTGGCATGTAGTAGGCAAATGTCCCACACTTACTACAGAAAGGATTCATCCGGGCGGGCAATGACACTCAATTGAAAAAAGGGCGCTGTCTCAATGATCCTTTATTTATAGTCTGCTCTTAATTACGCTGGTAACGTTTTCAGTTGTTGCCTTTTGTCCCCACTAATTCGCAGGTTTCTCGGCATACCTAGGCGGCCAGCTCTTTCACTAAGGAAACCCGAAGGGATCAACCAACAGCCAACCCAGAGCCGGAACCAATTAAACGCATAAGATGGCGGCCGCCCCTCAACGGCCGCGAGTCTCCACCCACTCAAGAAAGAGGCCTGCGTCATGTGACTCTTCCTTATCTGGCACCGCCTCGGCCGCAGTGCCTGACGGGAGGCAGAGCAGAGAACGAGGGCGTCGGCCATTTTGTGACTGTTTCCTGTGGAACGCGGTGGTGGCCGTTGGGTCCGAAGAGTGAGCGATTTTTCGCTTCGTTTTTCCTGCTTATTATCGCCTCCCTTTTAGTTTGTAGAGCGCAGTTATGGGTCGCAAGAAGAAGAAGCAGCTGAAACCGTGGTGCTGGTATCCTTTGTCAATTTTAAGTCGAGGCCGAGCTCGGGCGCGCGTTTATAGTGACTGGGACTGGGAGGCCTGGCTTTGGCCTATGGCGGAGGGTGTCTGGGATCTAGGCCTGGGGGTGGGGGTTTTGATGGCTGTCGTCGGATTTGGGAAGTCTTCTCGGAAAATAGGGTCTCTAGGGCGGGAGGCTCTGGCAGTTGTGGGTCGTGGGACTCCGTGACTAAGGTTCTTGCTTTGGTGCGAGCGTTAACCGACTGGGAGGCGGCTTGGACCACTCCATCAAGGACAGTGTCCCCTAAGGATACTACTATTCTGCCATACTCGGTGGTTTGGTGACGATTCAACAAAGGGACTTTTTTCGAGTAAAACGCTGATTGTAGGGAGGATTAGCTGAGAGCTTTCGGAGTCACGCACTTTTTCCTTTTTTTTTTTTTTTTTTGGTTTTTTTTAAAGAATCGATGGTTTAGTAAAGGCTTGTTAACCCTGATTTCGAACTTTTTTTTTTTGCGCGCGCGGGGGGGGGGCAGGGGGAGAGACTAGCTTCCGCGTCTCACCCACGGGCGCCTTAATCTTCCTGAAACGTTCTCTTGCAGGGTGGAGTTTCTTGCATCTATTACCTAGCTTTGCAGGGCTAAAAAAATGCTGCTTAATGTAGCATCCTTTTAATATTTATTCCCGGAAGCGTTAATACACTTTACGTTAGTTGGTTTTATTTACTCTCTTGTCCCTAAAACCAGTTTGTTACAGAACTACATTTATTTATAGAATAGTTAAACGTTTAAGTTTTGTAATATGCTTTTAGGGAACTCTTACTAGTGAGATAATTCTCAGTCTTATTAATGTAACTTATCTGAGTTTAAATACGTTCCTTGGCAACACAAGTTCATACGGAATTGCAAAACTATGGATTGTTCATACAAAATTCTGCCATTCTTATTCACTATGAACTTATTCTTAGATTCTAAATAATATAAACTTAAATTCTAAACATTAGGTAAATCTTAATATTTCGATTATTTTTGATCTAATGAATGCATTCTGTCTTGACATAAAGTTGGGGATTTTTTTTAAACATTGAATCCTTCCAGTCAGTAATGTGCATTTGTAAAGGTTAAAATAGTGAACAAAAGAAAAGTTAATTTCACATAAATCTCTTAAACACGGAAATTTTACAAAACTATTACTGTGACTTACTGAAATGTGTTTAGAGGTAGTGAAGAGAGATTATGGGCTTCCAGGAACTGTGCTAAAATTACTGGGTAAATTAATCCCTAATTGTTTAAATATCAAAAGCAAAGTTGCTGTAAAGTACCGTTTTGGTTTTACCGGTAGTTCCCATATTTTAATGTTACTCCTATTCTATTGTATGACAGGTTTTTAAAAAGTCGGCAGTGTCATTATTGTGCTATTTTTGTACCTTAACAATATTGATCAGGTATTGTAATAGAGATTTTGATGACGAGAAGATCCTTATACAGCACCAAAAAGCAAAACATTTTAAATGTCATATATGTCATAAGAAATTGTACACAGGACCTGGTTTGGCTATACATTGCATGCAGGTAAGAGTTTATCTTCTGTATTTAATTTTTGTTTCCTTGTAGTTTGGGAACAACGTTGGAAAAAATCATGAATATTTCTTCCATTGTAGGTTTCTTTTCTTGTTATTTATTGGAAAAGAGCAGATAAGATGGCCAGTCAGTTTTTTTTTTTAAAAGCTTGTTCTTTAGCCAGTAGAAGATATACAGTTTATTTTTTTTATGTTTAAAGAGAGTTTATATTGGTATTTTAAAATTATTGATATATTTCATTCTATGTTAGATTGGTGATAGTTAGGTTCAGATTGTAAAATATCTCCTCAGTACTTGAGTTAGAAAACAAGGATCAGTGATTTAAATTTTGTGGGCAATCTGACCACTTCTAATCCCATAAGAATTAAGACATAATTAGTTGCCATTACTCACTGCCATTGAAGGATTTGTTACAATCTTTTGCTTGGAACCAGGCTATTTCAGTTTATTCCCCAACTGTTTTGGAATGGTAACGTTGTTTCATTTAATAGTTTCTTAGTTTCTTGGGCCCTTTTACTACTAGGTAAGGAGAGCTTTGTAATTTTTATTTTTAAAGATCTAATAAGTACCGTTATGTTTTATTCAACATTACTTCTTTTGCCAGTTTTAGAGCTGCCTGAATTTTTGCCTAATTGGACCTTGGATGTGAGATGAGTAAATCTCTATTCATTGGAAACTACTATTGGTAGGAAGCAGGGAGGTAAATTAAAACAAGCCATTGCTTCCCCAAGTTTAAAAATAAATTTATATAGATCCTTTTCATTTCAGTTATGTCATTATAACAATAATTTCATATCCATTCAAAAATATTTCAGAGCCTACTACATGCGACCCACAACTTTCCACTGTGGCAGTCCTAAATTACATGTGGCTATTTAAAAGAAAATTAAAAATTCATTCCCTCAGTCACATTATAGTCACACTTCCGGTACTCAGTAGCCACTTGTGGTGGCTGATGAATGACTATTGTATTGGATAGTGCAGATACAGAACATTGCAGTTTATCACAGAAAGTTCCTGTGAGACAGCACTGAGTATACAGCAAAACAGTCACCATTGTTGAATTTAGATTTATATTGAGGAAAATAATCTGTAAATATTTTGTCTTATTGTGATAAGTAATATAGAAAACTAAAAATAGAGGGTATAGAGAAGGCCACAAGATAGTTAGGAAAGGCCTGAACTAGAAGCTGACATCTGTAGCAGAGATCTGAAAGAAAATGAGGTAGAGCTTCCAAGGAACAGCAGATAACAGGCCATATAGCATTTACCTATTGAAGGAAAGGGAAAGAGGTAGCAACCTGCTACTTTATATTGGGCTTGAAGGCTACTGTGGGCCATTTTCATTAATTCTGAAATCGGAGGTTTGAATAGAGATATAACATGCTCTGGCACCTTTTTTTGAAGGACTGTTCTGGCTGTAAGAATAGACTTGTAGAGTACAGTGACATCATTTAGGAGACGAGTATCCCAGGCAAAAGATGATGCAACAAGACCAGAATTTGCTGATGGATTAGATGTGGAGTATGAAAGAAAGTGAGAAATTAAAGATATGAAGGTTTTTGACCTAAGCAGTGTGAAAAATGAAGTTACCATATACTGAGGTGTGGAAAGAGCTGCGGGAAGACAACTAGGCTTAGGGATGAGGATATCAAGATTGTTTTTATGTTGATTTTGAATATGGGCATGTTAGCTTTGAGAAGGTTTCTGAAGATCCAGTTGGAGATGCCACATTAGCAGTTGGATCTACAAAGTCTGGAGTTCAGAGGGGTTGGAGCTGGAGATAGAAATTTGGAAGAATACTGTATACGAATGGCTATTTGAAGTGATGAATATCTTTTCGTAGGGGGTAGAATATAGATAGAAAAGAGGTACGAAGACTCCATGTTGGGCTATTCCCAGCATTTAGAGGTCAGAAATTTGAAAGAAATCATTCAAGGAGATTGAAAAGGTAGGGAAACCCAAGAAAGTAGTACCCTGGAAGCCAAATGAAGTGTTTCAAAGTAAGTTATTTAACTGAATTTCCAAATGCTGGTGTAGGTCAAGAAGACTAAGATTGGATTAATCAAACTGGAGGTCATTGGTCACTTGCCAAGAGTGATTTCCTAGAATGATGAGGATGAAAGCTTGATTGGAGTGCTTTCAAGAGAAAATGATAAAGTAGAGGCACTCTTTCCAGGAGTTGTACTGTAGAGGACAGACAAATGGAGTGGAAGCGGAAAGGAGATTAGTTGAGAAACTGTTAGTAACATTTTTAATAGACTAAGTGCTTCTATTTATATAGTCTTACTATACTTTAACAGCAACCTGTGAGATGGGCATGGCAGTTTAATCAGACACCGCCTCTAATTTTAAAGATGATAAACCTAGGACATTGGTAATTTAGATAGTTCACATCATACTTGTTCCTCTGTCTTTTCAACCAAGACCATACTAACTTATACTAGGCAAGAGTCTTAAGAAATCTAATTCTGGCTGTACTGTGTTGGGATGATTTTTGTTATTTTTTTTCCCAACACCTTTTAATTAGTATATTCTTGCTATTATCACTTAGAAATGTAGTGGAGACCAGTTATGTGAACGTAATTGTATTTCTTTAAAGAACATGAGTTACTTCATCTGCATTTATCAAAAATACAATAGTAACAGTCCAAAAACTAGGAAACAGTGATTGAGTCAGTTAAGTAGCTTTATTCATGGATCGTTTAATCGCAATAATGAATAGTTGTTAAAGATTAATCAGAAATTAAGGTAATTTCTGAACTAGTTTTGCACACGTCACTGTTTGAAGTCTTTGAGATACATCTCTAAGAAGAAAACACTGCACTTTTTCTTTAATTACCTGTGTAACATGAAAGTATCTTGGGAGGATAGAAAAATTGAGTATTCCTTGGACAAATATATTCAAGTCATTAGCTTAAATCAGTGGTTCTCAAGCTCAAGTATGCATCAGAATCACTTGGAGGGTTATTAAAATACAGATTGCTGGCCCCACCCATTCCATAGGACTAAGGTGGGGCCTGAGAATTTGCATTTCTGATAAGCTTGCAGCTGCTGCTGCTGCTCTTAAGTACTTTGATATCCTTCCACCTTTTGCTGAAGAAACGAGGACAGACAGGGATTTGACCGCATTGGCGGAAGTTATCGATGTTCGAGGGTTGGAAACATTTGATTGAGCAAAATCTGTACAGTGAAAAAAGCCCTAGATTCCCAGTGTTTTACCATTAAAAACTACTTTTCCTCTGTGACCTACTAAATAAATTCAGAGATAGATAATGACAAGCTCATTATGGCAGTGCTAAATGCCTCAGATAATGCATTAGTTATGGGTAATGCTAACTGTCAGTGTCACTTTTGTAGTCATAACTACAGGCTTGTCTCAAGATCCATTCTTGGAAAATTTACTTATTCTAATTCTCTTAATATAATAAGACTTTCATAAGCTTTACTTAATTCACACTTGAAACTTCTCTGATTTGAGTAGAACTACAGTTTATTGCTGATAATTCAAGCAAGATAATATGATAAACTTGAAATAGTGTTTATTCTTGAGCCCTGTGTGTTTTTTATATACTAGATTTAATTTTGAAAACAACTCTAGAAGTTAGGTACCATATAGGTGCAGTAAACTGAGTCTTAGGTCAAATGATTTGCCCAATCTCACATGATTAGTAAGCAGCAAAACTGGGAATTGAATCCAGATAGTCTCACTATAGAACCAGTCACTCTTAACCATCATACTAAGTGGTCTTTGTCTAAATAATTTGGATTTACTCTCTGAAAGACTTTATGAGGCACTTTTGTCTATCTGATGGAAATTTGGGGGGATTTTTTGTGTTTTTGATAGGTGCATAAAGAGACAATAGATGCTGTACCCAATGCAATACCTGGTAGAACAGACATAGAGTTGGAAATATATGGTATGGAAGGTATTCCGGAAAAAGACATGGATGAAAGAAGACGACTTCTTGAACAAAAAACACAGGGTATGCTTTTTCTTAATATAGCTTCACCCATGAAAGTATTACTACTACTTTCAAGTATAAATTGAATGGTAGATTTATTCGGAATTCCAATTTTAAGTTCTATTTTTTTCTTTTTGTCTTAATGTTTAAAGTTGTATATTGATTTGTATGTATGTAATACCATTTGGATCATTCCAAACACTGTAATACTTTCATTCATAACTGAATACCAAATATTGAGGCCTTTGAAAATGAAGGTACTTGGCTTTGATTTATGTAGCCACTAATTGTAAAAAAATTTTTTTATTTGCAGCCATGTACTATACAGATGATAGGAGCTGTTATTAATCACCTATGGAATTTTTTTGTTTTGGAAAGCATTACTCTTGGTCATAGTTTACCTTTCGGGGTGAAATAGCTTGGTTTTTTGTGTTTTTTTGTTTGTTTGTTTTGGTTTTTTAAAGATTTTATTGGGGAATTGGGGGGGGAACAGTGCTGGGGAATTTGGGGAAGGGGAACAGACAAGTTGCTGTTCTTTTGTTCTTCAGTCTAGTTGTGGAGGACGTCGCTTCACTGGCCCATGTTGGTATTATCATTGCGCTCTTCCCAGGTGAGGCAGATTGGTCGCCGGCCACTGGACCGCCGCTCTTGGCAGCTCACACTGGCTGCTGGCCACACACAGTAGCCTTATGGCAACCAACGGCAGCAGGGGCTGCAGCCTACAGGTGGAGCTGTTGTTCACCATCTTAGCTGTAGAGGGCAGTGTCACTGGCCTCACATGTGGGATCACATGTGGGTTCACATGTGGGATCTGGACTGGGCCCTGCTGCTCAGAGCTGGTACCCAAGCCAGCTGTTAAAACCAACGTGCCACTTGGCCAGCCCAAAAGCTTGTTTTTTAAAAATAAAACTGACAGGAGAATTATTTTTACTTCTCATAGGATAGGGAAAGGATTTTAATATAGGTTGAAAACACATTTGAAGAGTAAAGAACAGTATTAATATTAGCTGAAATATTTCTGGAAGAAAAGTCTCAATAATTGTGCTGAAATAATTTTTTTACATATTGAATGTCTTAAACTTGCTTAGTTTTTTTTTTCTTTAACTGGGAAAAATTAATTAAAATTTTTTTAGCAGAGAGTCAAAAAAAGAAGCAACAAGATGATTCTGATGAATATGATGATGATGACTCTGCAGCTTCAACTTCATTTCAGCCACAGCCTGTCCAACCCCAACAAGGTTATATCCCCCCAATGGCACAGCCAGGACTACCACCAGTTCCTGGAGCACCAGGAATGCCTCCAGGTAGCACATACGGTTTCTTACTATTTAATATTCTTAAAACTTGATTAATGCGGTGTAGAAGTATTACATTCTTCCTAACTTTTTAATATTAATTTGTGATTTTTTTGTTGAAATTTTTGTTTTTAGGCATACCTCCATTAATGCCAGGTGTTCCTCCTCTGATGCCAGGAATGCCACCAGTTATGCCAGGCATGCCACCTGGGTAAGAAAACTTTTAATTGGTTTGTGGGCTTGTGCCTAGTGATGACCTTTCAACTTGGGTGTTATGAATTAAATGTTTGCATATTTTTTTGCTTCTGAAAGGTATGGGCTCTGTAAATATTAAAATTATCTAATAAAGGGATAAGGAATATAAATTTGCCTCTGAAGAGAATAGATCTTTGGGTTTTAGGATGTATGTAGGCAGCCATCTGCTTCAGTTGCATCTGATGTAATGAAAGTAGTTGGTTGTAGATTTGAGTTTCTGAGATTCAGAACTGTCCATGACACTTTGTGGTTGTGACAAGAAGCAAACTCTGTAAGTGATTTAAATAATTTGTCTCATCATCAAGAACTAAAATAAATAGGTGCTCGTGTGCCCATCACTTTTACTTAAATATTGTTGGATGTGACAGGTAAACAATACACTTTCCCACTGTATTTTGAAAATCACAGTTAGATTTTGATTTTGTCATACATTTTCACAGATTGCATCATCAGAGAAAATACACCCAGTCATTTTGCGGTGAAAACATGTAAGCATCTCATTCATGATGTAATTCAGGAGGTATAATCATAATGTCATTTTCTTGTGTGTTTAATGGTATCTATTCAGTTGATTTCAGTAATTTCCTAACCTTCCTCATTAAAACTTCTAAAACTTGCAAGCTGATTGACACAGTTCTCTGAAAGGAGGGAAATAAAACATCTTTGAGGAAATAGTAATAAATTCATATATAAATAAAGCATTTTCTAAATGTGCGGCTATTTTCCCCTAATTGCTAAAAGTAATGGGAATCAATAAAAGGGTTGATATTTGAGAAAGAATATATAGTCTTTTGTCAGATTGTATGCTTTATTATTATAGAAGGTAATTGAATTTTCTTCTAATAAAATCTATATATAGAAGTTAACCTTCTGATAAAAGTCCTAAAATCAAGAATTCACAAACTTGTAATTTTTTAAGTGAATTGGACATGCAGATGAACTCTAGGGGAAGGAAAATAAATAATGGGTTATGTTTTTAAGTAATGGCTTAGTGTTAGCTATTCTAAGTAAAAATTAGGCAATCTAAGTTTATTTTCGACTGTCTTTAATATTGCTGGTAGTCTTTCTGTGCTCCTCCAAAAACTTATCTCTACAGTATACATTCAGTATTTTCCTTTTGAAAAATCTGATGACTTTAAAATAGAAATTTTTATTTATATTCTGTGTGGCTATTTTCCAAGTGAGACAAAAGGTGATTTTGCTTTCCAATTGCACATATTTTAGATGAGGTCTCTTGTATATATTAAGGAGCCTGTAATCTTGTTCCTAATGGCTTTAAATATATTAAAATGTTTTGCCAACAAAGACTGAACTCCCCACCTCCCAGTTTTACTGGTGAACTCGAGTTTGCTGGTTTTTAGAGGATTTATTTTGATAGGATTGTTTCAGTGTTGTATGTTCTTTCAGCTTGATTTCAGTATTAGGGGTCAAATTCAAGTCTTTTTATTTATTGTTTCAGGATTTAGCCAGAATATTTTCTAATTGTTTATACTGTTGATTAACTTCAGTTGTTTCTTGAAATTTGCTTTCTAATAGAATGATGCCAATGGGTGGAATGATGCCACCTGGACCAGGAATACCACCTCTGATGCCAGGCATGCCACCAGGTATGAAATATTTTGACAATTTCTTTTTTAATATGACTGGCATGTTTTATTCTTAAGTACTTTAGACATTATATTCGTGGGCACTGGTGCAATGTAATTTAAAATTTTTCATAGGTTGGTGACTTCTTTTTAAAATTACCATGAGAAATGTTATAATACTCCGCCCCCCTTTTAGTCTTAAAATAGTAAAAACGGGTTTCAAAGCAGCCAAAATGAGCCACAGAGCTTGTGCACTAAAGTTCATATCCTTAAGAGTAGTTGTATTTGTTAGGAATATTTTATACAAGTAATAGAGGAGACTCTAGCAAGTAATAGAGAACTTGAACAAACTGGACATTTAACAATTAGACATTATCTCACTCAACAAAAAGAAAAGATTGAATGGTTTAATGATAGCAAGAACCCGTGCTTTTTAAATTTTCTGCTTTATTAACCTTAGCTTTTCTCCTTTAGTTATGTCACTAAGTGGTAACAAGATGACTGAGGCAAGAAAGGGTATCAACAGCGATGTGCTTTTTCTTTTATTAGAGAACAAAGTAATTTCTCGGTATTATTGCCTAGAAATAGGTCTAGTGGATCTTTTAGCTGCAAGGGGGCCTGGAAAATGCAGTAACTTGACTTTCTAGACTATAATGTGGGGAAAAGGATTTGATTAGCCAAATAAGTGTGCCACAGAAGCCTTCAAGACGCTCTTATTTGGTTGCCTTGCTTTTTTATACTTAATCCTAGCAAGTTTGAGTTGTAATCATAGCAGATTTAGAAGTACTCAAGTGATAGTTGATATAACAGGTCCCAGAAAAATAAAGCAGCAGCAAAATTTTAATCATTGCCAGTAAGCTGTTAATTTATAGGCAACAGCTCCATATACATAATGCTCTAAGATAATTTCAAAGTAATACAGAATAATCAATCTTCATTTGATAGTGTGCACTAGAAGTTTTAAGTTATGTTGAGGAAGCTTAAAGAATGAACTGGTGATGCATTTCAGGAAAATTTAAAGTGTTTAAATGGATAAGTTAATTTTCTGGGAAAATTTTTGTGGATATGATATGTGATTTATCAAAGTTTTTACTGTAATTTGCATTAGAGTTCAGGGAACATCTGTCAGATGATTGACATAATTTTCTTACATGTTTCAAAAGGTTTGCTAAATTAGTAATATCACTAAGTTTAATTGCTGCTTTGTCCAAATACAGGGTCTCTCTAGTGGTATCTTTCACTTCCCAAAATTCTGAAGAGATGCAAAAGAATAGGAAATTTGAGGCAAGGTTGTTCCAAGGGGCAAAATGCCTAAGTTCTTTGGATTTCATTGAGCTCATCAGTCAATTGTGAGCAACTTTGTTGTATAGAAGCCTTTTTAATACGTTATATTGTAGCAGCAAAGTTTTGGGGAAATACTTTTTTTTTAACTAAATGCTTTAACCACTTAGGTCCTCCTTTCAACATTCTTTTGTACAGGTATGCCCCCTCCTGTTCCACGTCCTGGAATTCCTCCAATGACTCAAGCACAGGCTGTTTCAGCACCAGGTATTCTTAATAGACCACCTGCACCAACAGCAGCAGTTCCTGCTCCACAGCCTCCAGTTACTAAGCCTCTTTTCCCCAGTGCCGGACAGGTAAGGTGAAATTCCTGAAAAGGAGTGCACTTATATTTATAGGTTAAGTGCAGTTGTTACAGAAATCTATGAAATTGTCATAGGTCAATTTTTTGTTAATTCAATTTTAGTAGCTTATTAAGCATAGTAAGATGGCCTATTTTCTTCCATGTTTGCACACATTGGTTTCCTGTACTAATAAAAGATTGATTGGAGCCAGAGATAGTGTATTACTTTTTTTTTTTCATAGCTGTGAACTCTGGTTATTCTAACTGTAGATAGAAGTGAAAGTTTAATTTTTGGGGACTTAAATGTGTGATAATGTTTAGAGGTCTTCTTAGCTATTGAACTGTGAGTAGAACGAAAGCAAAGCCAGAGATGAAAATTCTAAGATCTTAGCAGATCATTGGTTGGGCTCTTCCTCTAATCTAGGACAGTAACAATACTGCACACTTGTAAAAGGACAAGTAAAATGTCCGGACAGTAAAAAAAAAAAATTTAGGACAGTAAAAATGATGCACACGGAAGGGCATCATTTAATTGTTTTTGACCTACTCTCACTTAATTTCCTACTAGTTTTGTCTTCAGAGCTCAAACCGAAAAATGTTTCTGTTATGTATATAGCATGTCTGTAATGGTTGTTACCCTTTTTTTTTCAGTGTCATTCAGAATTAAGCAGATGTGTGTAATTCATTCAGAATTTAGAAGATAAGGATGTATGTTCTTTCTCACTTTAAAATTATTCCTTAGATGTTTTTTCTTTGTTTGTAGTTGCTAAATTAAAAATCATTACTTCTTAAGTGCCCTTTAAGCACATTAACTTAGGATTTTGAGGTGGGTGGCGATTTTGTTTATTGAGAGATGTTAAATTTTTGGCAAAAATCTTTTGTAGAGTCATTGATAGAGAATTGGATTGAAGTGCCGGTGATCCTTATTCTCAGTTCAAGGTAGCATTTTTGAAACATCACAGTGCAAAACAGTTTTAGAAAACAAATTGGTTAACTAGGTGTATTGGTATAGAATTAAAAGGTTTATTTTGAGGCTTATACTGTTGTAAATGCATTAACTGCCTACCTCTTCAAATAAATCAGATTTGATTACATTATATTTTGCATTTACAAAAACTTAATCTATACTAAAAAAAGTCTACCACATGGCTTATTTTCACCCATTTGTTTGGAGACTTTTCATTGTTTCCTTTCTTTTATGCTACAGATGGGGACACCTGTAACAAGCTCAAGTACAGCTTCATCCAATTCAGAAAGTCTGTCTGCATCTTCTAAAGCTCTGTTTCCTAGCACAGCACAAGTACGCAGGAAGTTGCAGTTTAAAATTGTTAAAATGGCTTTATAAATTAACCCTTTGGACCCTATTTTAAAACTAAATCTTTTCCCAAAAAATACACTATTTAATTTCTTTTTTTAAGTAAGATTGATGGTATATAAATCAATGCTATTTGAAAAATTGAACTCAGAAAAAAATGTTCCCCAAACTTCTATGGTTCTAAAGGGTTAAAAGCATGTAAGCAGTAAATGCCTTATAGTAGCCAATGGTTAGCCTGATGCATGATTAAGCTATTTTGATTTATGCCATTTAATCTAATGCATCACGTGTAATGTAAGGAAATTGAGTACTCTGCATTTGGTTCTAAAGTTGTCCTAGTCTACATGTTTCAGATGTTTGGTATTACAAAAAGTAACACATTTGTTACTGGTAACTTTATACTTAAAAGATTCTTCTAAATCTTTTTGTTCATGATACTCCAGCCATTGTTAATTGGGAGGGTATTGTGTTACTATATAAAGAATATCTCTGAAGGACATATTTTTAATGTGTCACCATTGATATTTTGCTATGCTTAGTAACTGAAATTTATCCAAACATTTGTAATCTGTAATTTCTAACTTTTTTTTTTTTGAGCTGCTTGGTAGATTAAACAACTAATTTAGAATAGTAAAAATAGAACATGTGCCATTCCTTTATATAATAGTATATTTCATCAATCTGGAATAAATATAAAGCTTTGTAAATTAAATAGCTTTTGGTGAGGAGGTAGATGACATCTGAGAAGGATACATATGCAGTCTTATTTGTTTTCTTGTTTCCCATTCTGTGTTTTGGATGTGACTTTGACCCAGCTTCTTTTGATCTTTTTATGTGTTATCTTGAGTTTTGTGGAGCGTTTGTCATGTTAACTTTGTTTTAATTTAATGTTTGGTCCTTTATTGAATGTTGTTGTCTTATTTTTACGTTAAATTGGTAATAGGTATACTCAACTTTGGAGTTTGAAGTTTCGTTGATGAAAGATTATGTTTTACAGGCTCAGGCAGCTGTCCAAGGACCTGTTGGTACAGACTTCAAGCCCTTAAATAGTACCCCTGCAACAACTACAGAACCCCCAAAGCCTACATTCCCTGCTTATACACAGTCTACAGCTTCAACCACTAGTACAACAAATAGCACTGCAGCTAAACCAGCTGCTTCAATAACAAGTAAGCCTGCTACTCTTACGACAACCAGTGCAACCAGTAAGTTGATCCATCCAGATGAGGATATATCACTGGTGAGTTGTTTACAGTTTTTACTAAGCAGAATTGGATTGAATGTCATTGTGGCAGCTTGTCCATTTGAAAAATGTTAATTTCTACATTGATGGTCTTATGATCTGATTTAATGCTTACTAAGTGGTTTTTACCATTCTGATTTTTAAGAACCACAAAATAAAGTGAATAATGTTTGTTTTGATCTTAGATGTATTCCCTTTCCCCCAGACTATTTCTAAAAGAAGTCAGTAAGTTGAGTTCGTACTCCTAAAAATCATTTTAGTTAGACATACATTTGTAAATTAATTGAAAAAACAATTCAGTGAGGTAGAATCTGCAGACCCCTGGAAGCCCATATATACCTTCTTCACTAGGTACTTTCTTGCTGAAACAATTTATAATTTCTAGGAAGTTTTATCTGTGCTTCAAATATAAAAATAGGTGAGGTTTTCTTAAGGCATCGAGATTTTAAGTCATAGAACTGATTTTTTGGGCAAAAGTAATTGGTTGAAAAGTAAGCATATGTTTTTTTTTTTTTATTATTCTATAAATAAGGTTTTGGATGCTTGCCTTTATACTTAATGAGTCTCTGTTAATGAGTTCAGTTGTTTAACATCTTGCTTATTTTTATTCCTAGGAAGAGAGAAGGGCACAGTTACCTAAATATCAACGCAATCTTCCTCGTCCAGGACAGGCTCCCATTGGTAATCCACCAGTTGGACCAATTGGAGGCATGATGCCACCACAGCCAGGCATCCCACAGCAACAAGGAATGAGACCCCCAATGCCGCCTCACGGTATTCTTCTTTTTATGTTTATTGTATTTAGTAGGTTTTTTGTATGTATAGTGTATACACACACAATAAATTTATGTGTAAAATAACATTACATTTAAAAGTACAGTGCACGGACCAACTCAGTCTATTTTTTGTGTTTTAAATGTGTTTTTTAGGTCAGTATGGTGGTCATCATCAAGGCATGCCAGGTTACCTTCCTGGTGCTATGCCACCGTATGGGCAGGGACCACCAATGGTGCCCCCTTACCAAGGTGGGCCTCCTCGACCTCCGATGGGAATGAGACCTCCTGTAATGTCGCAAGGTGGCCGTTACTGATCTCACTTCATCCAATCTAATAGGTTTGGAGATTAAACCTTTTCTCAACTTGTGCTGTTTATATAGCCAAGCTTCCGTCAATAAGGCTTCATTGTGACTTTAACAAACATTATCTTCCCACATACCAGGAACTATTGGACATTTATTTTACATGGGAAAAATTATTTGGAATAATAAAGCAGGAACTTTTCCTGAAGTTGCAATTTATACTGTATGGCTTCTTTTTCATGTTTCATCTAGGTTTTTAGAAGTGAAGTATAGTAAATTTGGTTCGTTATATTGTGAAGGCGCTGGAATTACATGAACATACCACCTTAATAAAGGCAAGTTCTGTAAGCTTACATTGCTATTTGTAAAGTTATGCCTTCACAGCACTTCAGATGCTGTTGGACTTCATGTCCCCAACCTAGCTTGGTGAGGGCTGTAACTATTTCCAAGTTAACTGTACATTGGAAGTCTGAATGTGTAACAATATTTAATGTATTTAGAGTTCCTCATGTTGCAGGGTTTACGAAATCTGACCCACCAAGGTCATGTGACTTTTCTGTACTGTTAAACTTCATTGTAATAAAATGAGAGAAAAATTTATGCCTTTTTATTCATAACCCAGCTGTGGACCACTGCCTGAAAGGTTTGTACAAATGCATGCCACATTAGACGTCCACATAATAAAATTCATAGTTACCAATCCAGTTTTGATATATTATTGGATTCTGTCTTTGAATTATAGGTGGTTCCTTTGCTGCATGTTTTAAACTGGACAGTATAGAATTGTATGTTAGTGCTTGATTTAACAGAATAACTTAGGATGCATATGAGTCATTACGTAATAGGTATCACATCTTTATATTGTGTCATCTTTTTGCCCTGTTGGTGTCAGTACTTTTTAGATGTCATAGATATTTAAAATGTAAACCATAATATTTCCTCCTTCCTGCTGATGATATTTAGAGCCTAGTGCCAGACCCATTCATTTCCTTCTGCATGGACCTCAGAAGCTTTTCAGGTGCAAACTTCTAGAAGCTTTGGTACAAGCAGTGATAGCTTTTTGTGCTATTAATAGATTGGTATATTTTCTAAGTGTAATGTGAGATACTGTGTGGCTCTGTTAGAATGGTTAATAGATTTGAAATTTTTTGTTATGTTCCTGAAAGACTATATTATGTCTTTGATTAGATGACTATCTTCTGTTTATTAAGCCTAAGTGGATTACTGTTAACCTTTTTATCCTTGGAAATTTGAATGTTAACTGTTCCTATGGAGAACATTGCTGTAGAGATGACTGGTATTATTCAGTATCTTGTGTTGCAAGTCTCATATAATAGCTAGCTCCTGTTGTCCTTTTTTGGCATCCACTTTTTAAATCTTTTACAGAGTAGTTTTATGCTTATTGAAGTATCAAATGACCTGTACAGAATATAATTATTAATATAACAAACTCAAGTTGAAGCTAAGACTTCCAAGAAAACGGTAACATTTCTTTATAGCCTTTATGTAAAGGTGTAAATATTAGACATGAAATCTGAAGTTTTGTTTTTAAAAAAGCATTAACTTTGTAGGAAAGTATTGAAAAATGTTTTAATCATCATAAAAGAGTATTTAAGTGAAAAGTAAAAGTTATTCATTTAAACAAAACATTGCAATTATTAAAGAGCTGAGGGCTACTTTAAATTTGATATTTTGCACCAGTGGTTTTATGGCTCGTGCTGTGGTACCATTGGGGTTCAAAATAATTGGAAAAGGCAACATCCATGTAGCACCAAGAATGCATTTGATCCTCCTCGCAATCAAGTCTCATACCCTTCCCCCCACCAAAAACTACCTACTTAGTTTTGGAATTCACACATACTTAGATTTGGCAGCACATTTATTATACCGCCAAAGAAAACCCTGTGTTAAATCTTTAAGGTAAAAATGGCATGATGTTTCAAAAATTATGCAAAGCTTTATTTGCATTTAAAGCAAAAAGAGCTGATATTTTGTGTCAAGGTTTATTGCTTTCTGAGGTCTGAAAGGAGAAAATACTACTTTTAAATAGGTTACAGAATTTTCTTTAAAAGTCAGTTCAGTGTTATGCATGGCACTTAAACTTGAACACACCATGTCCTGTGTTCTGTAGGTATATGGCCCAGGTGGTGCCCATTTGGTATATTTAAAGTGTAATTTGTGCATTTAACATCATAATTAAGCTTCTAGAAAAGACCTTTTACCTAACTGCTTCTGGGGTCCATAGGGTGGTGAAATCATGAGTGGAACAAATTACGTTGAAATAATTAACTCCTACTTTGACTTAATGCTTCCTTAAATAATAGAGTTGAGTCGAAGTATCTACCCTTATAGCAGACAACTTTTGGGACTTGATATATTCAGGCAGGCATTGTGGTTGCCATAATTTAGGAAGTTACAAGAAGAATGGGGCTGCCACCCTTGGCTCTACCTTAACGTCCACTCATATAAGCTTTTAAAAAAAAACCAAAAATGACTTAAACATTTGTCTGGCACTAGTTTCTATTGTATAGATTTTACTATTGTATGACAGTAACAAGACCAGTGGGTGAGGGACAATTTTTGAGTGACTGCTGGAGTTACCATTTGATTTAAATACTTTCTATTTTAGTAATATCTCACACATTTAGCATTAGGAATGGGGAAACTACTCAGTGTGCTTCTATTCCACTGATCAAGTTACATATTGAACTTAGCTTAATTAAATAGACATTTGGGAGGGAGATCCCCAACAAAAATAATTATGGACTCAGAGTGGAATTATAATGGACAGTAGTATTTTTTTTAAACTACATTTTTTTTCTTTTGCTTGCTTGATCATTGGGATTTTTTTAAAAATGCATGTCTTAAATTAATTGGGTAATGTTTTTCTAAAATTAAAATTTTCTTCTTCCTATAGCCCTGCCATAGGACAGGCTGAGGCTGAGTCTCAGTGTTGCCCTGTTCAGTCTGAGGCAAGTGGGATTTATTTTATTCCTTATAGGGGCTTTCACAGCTTGATGGCTGTTGGATATTTATGTCCCCAAACTTGCAGCAAGTTTGGTGAAGGCCCCTAAATTTCATTAAAAGTAGGATTTTTATACTCTTGGCAGAGAAGGCTCTATATTAATATTCACGTTTGACTGTGGTGTTAATAAAAAGTATTTGATATATGTTACTTTGTGTTATGTAATATTTAACAGCCTCGTAAAGCTGTTATTGCTATATTGAACTTTAGTAAATTGACAGAATTTGACATTCTTAATTTGGAGGCATGAAATGTTTCATTTAAATTTTCCACTTTTCACTTTTAGGAAAACCTTGCTGGTTATTTTATCCTCAAACGATTAAATTTAACCTCAAGGATAAGTTTAATTATTGGAAATGCCACTGGATACTGAATGAATCCTAACGTTATGCATTGAACACTGAGGTTGAAAGATCAGGTGGAAATGCTTTTGATTTTTACTGTTTTCAAAACCTCACCACATTAGAGCAAATGTTAATGTAGAGCCCTGTGGAAAGTGGGAAGGTGGTGTGTGTGTGGCATGAATGCGTATACACTACACATTTGAGATAATGAAAGAGTCTGGGTATTGCAGACCTATCAGTATGGATAGATAACTAATTTTCAGGTAGCCAGACTGAATTCATATCGTGGTAAAGTTAGTATATTGAACTATGGTTTTGAAATGGTTATTTTCAGGTTCATTTTTAGCCTTACTGCACTATATTTTATTCAATATGCATATATGAGAAGTATCCACATTTCTTTTCAACTAAAGTTTGCTTTTATTTGATGAGAAAAGCCGTGTTTATGTCTGTATGTTGTAGTGGGTAAAGAGGGAACTGGAAGAGGTCAAAACAGAAACCTGGATTATTATCTTTGTTCCTTCCTGTGTTTAAGCCACCATTTTATCCAGATAGCATGTTCCTCTGAACAGTAACAACATACAGGACAATGTTTAGCAAACCCAGATTGTGTTTCTGTGTTGTTTTAATTCTTGGAAGCATAAAGAAAAAAATAGCATTAAATGAATTCCAAATTTGCACCTGTTTAATTAAAACATATGCTTTTCTCTGTAACTGAATCATGGGGGGGAAGATTTTAATGTCTGATAAAAGAATTTTGTCACAAAAATATTCCGTTGGAATATTTTATAACCTACTCAATAATTATACCTTTTAAGACTCCGTAGTTGGAGATGTCTTCTGTTGCACTCACTATCCACCAATGTACTGAAATATTCAAGAGTGAAGTTGTTGGCAGAATTTATTGGGGATAATACAGTTATCTAAATTAAGATGTAGTTTCTTTGATATTTCTGTAGGTCTGTGGCTCAAATACGATATTAAGAATTACATAACTTTCAGGGGTCTATTATGTCCACTGGTAAAACTTGGTAAATGAAAGGAAATGTTAAGTCACCTCTTCACTGAGATAAAATTTTGTTTGAGTAAATTAACACTTGTATTGCTTAGGGAATAAAAAAAAAATTAAGCATGTACCCTAAAATTTTGTGTAAATCAGGTATGTCTTTTTTAAAAGGTGGTACCTACCTACCTAATATTGAATAACCTTGTATGTTATTCCAAAATGAAACCATTTTCTCTTAACTAACTTTTATGGAACAGTCTTTAAAAGGAGGGGTTCAGTTATAAGACTGTTGAGTATAAGAAAGATTTTTGTAAGTAAATATTCCCTTAATTATACTTCTGCTTACTAACTCATGACTTGAATATTAGTAAAGTTCACTGGTTTTTTTACCCCTTAGATTTTTGTTTTCTGTCATCTGAATCATTTTAATAAATAACTTGTTTTTCTAGCATAGAAACCATCTAAGTTTTCTGTGTAATATTTTTTGGCAAAATAAGCAGTTACTTTAATGATACATATATATAGTGTTGTGAACATACTGATACTCAAAATTTTGTAATGTTGAATTATCAGAACTATACTTTTAATCTCTTGGCTCTTAAGTATCCCCTATTATGGATCTCATTCAAAGTAATGCATAGGAAATGAGGAAAACAAGACTTTAAGCTCCCTAATACTGTAAATATCTCCAACTTTTCCAAGTCTTTTCATGTTTTTGTACTTAGCATTTTTGTTGGGAAATAACAGGTTTGAAAGTAGCATTTTTAAAAAACTAGATTTCTTTAGTGGAGGGTCAGAAGAGAATTAATTGCTTTTTATTAGCATTGTTTTTCCTGCTCTGGGCTCTATACATTTTTGCATAATAATTTGGCCATAAAAGGAAGAGCTTTTCATTTTCTTCCCAATTCTGGAAAATTAATAGCTTGAAACTGTGTTAGTTTGAAATTTTTGAACCATTTTTATAAATCTGTTCAATTAATAATGTGTCCTCAGGGGAAAATACCTATATTTTGTTAAGCAAGATGTAGAAGTCATATTAAGCCAGAAATTGGAGACCCAAAGGAGATCTTCATTGAAGCTAATTTGAACTATTTGCATTTGAAGCAAATCAAATACTCTTATAAAAAATCAAGACTGGTTCATGTTAGGTTCTTTAGGAGGCATGTAATCACCAGCTATCTTATGAGAATATGTTTGTGTATGTTTCTATTTTGATCAAATTAACTACAGAGAAGATACATGTGAGTAAACGTTTAATGATGATTATGTGAAACCCACCCATTTTCTATTCTGTAATGATGTGTAAGGTGATAATGGCACAGCTTCAGCAATGTGCTATGTCAGGGGTTTGCGTAACGCTGTGTTTATAAAATGGTGAATTCCTTTATTGGAAAGCCCTTTGACATTCTTACTGTGTCCAGGGTTTTTAAAAAGTCTGTATGCCTTCACCTTCGGTGAATTTTTGAGGAACTGGCATTGAAATTCATTGATGCCCAACTTGGATAAAAATGAAGAATGGTGTGTCCTGCCTAGTGAACTACACAGACCAATAGTGATTATTTGGGAGAGGCCATTGTACTGTTTTGTTAGACTTAAGAACCTTAAATGTAGTGAAAGGTAACTGCATTCCTGCTCTTGCTTTGCATTTGTTATTAATACTTCACCAAATCATTTATTATGATGTAGTTTATTCTCAATATTCAGATACTTCAGCAATCAGATGAAAATAAGATTTGCAGCATCACACCCCAGTCTCTAATAAAACAAGGCTGCTTAACTACACAAGTGAAGCAAGGGAAGGGTTATTAAAGTTCTCTTAAGTTTGAGTTAGAAATGAGACATGTAGTTATTGAGGAAAGCCTCCCTTTTAGCTGTTAGCTTGCTTTAGCGTACTTCTAGGAGAAGCAATAGAATTTACTTTTCAACCCATGTTTTTGAAATTGAAAATATAAGAAAGTGAAATCAGTTTTTTGAAAATCGAATTAGAAACTATTAAAAATTGTTTGCCTCTGTGGGGTGTGTCTGCATATACTTAAAATTTAGAAATTATCACATTAAAGATTTTTTTCCCTAGATATATGCCCCCCCCTTTTTAGAGTAAGCAAAATTTCCATGTAATGCACATTGGAATTCATAGTTTATTAAAATTGAGCTGTATCCAAGACATATACAGTGTTATTAACTCATTCTCATAAGGTCACTCTAACAGCTAATATAAAGTAATTTTTGTAAGACATAGAGAAAGGAATTTTAATGTATTAATGTCAGGCTCTGAGGAAATTTAATGCACATTGACTTTTTAAAGTATGGCTTGAACTCCTCAGTTTAATACAATTTGTGTTTTTGTTAACTAGCAGCAGAATTTCAGCATTTGCTACTTACTGGTAGAGAAGAAAAATCCCACAGCCCTGCCAGTACAGGTTAGTTTAATCTGTAAGTACCTGATGTTCCTATTTTTTTCAAACATATCCATATAACCCACACAAGGAAGAAAGCTGTGCAGTTTCTTAAATGTGAGTATAACTCTTAGATCCATTGGACACTTTCAGACACTCAATACTTGGGCCAATTAGCTCTAGGTTTGTTAAATACAACTTAAGTTGTAATAAAGGTGTAATTCTCCTTTATTACCTGATTGTGGTTGGACTTAAATAGATAACATTGTACATAAGAGGAAAAGACAGTGAAAGTTTCTGTTGGCTGTGTGCTCATTTTGGTATATGATAAGGAGTGCAGGGCTTGGAGTCCAGGGCCTTTTAACCTAAGCCACTTCTGTGGTGGTACTCATTTACCTTTTAACTTTTTACAGTATGAATCAACCTAAAAAAGTCAAGTTTCCTCATTTCTAGCAATGATAAATGGTGTGCAGTCATAAACTAGAAAATGTTTTTATATTGCTGTTTTGTGTTTTTAGTACTTGCTGTAAATAAGTACTAATTTTGTTCCTCTTTTTTGTAAACTATATCCTAGTCTATTGGTGCACCACCACCATTTGTTCATTTTATTTTGAACTAAGAGTAACAAATCTTTTAAATACTCAAATGAAAGCTGACCATCAAGAAAACTAGATTGATTCTTTGTGTATTTCTTTTGAGGGGCAGTGGGGTTGTAACAGGTTGTAAAAGATATGTTAAAGTTTTACTTTCATTGGTTCTACCAGAGTTCATTGTTTTGAACCACCCTTGAGAGATTTCCTTTAACCGTTAAATATTGTGCTCTTATGTTGATAAAAATTTAATATCGAGGAGAGAAGAATCAAGTGTACAACTTAGTTTATACAAGCCTAAACCATCCTTCCAATCTGTAGCATTGACTGGGATGCATGGCTTCCTCCTTTACACCTTAAGTGTAATGCTGTCTAATTTGGGACAGTATCCATACAACCAGCTGATCTTGTACTCCTATTAAATTGGGATAGTGATTAGCCACTGAAAAGACATTATCTTAATGTTATTTTATGTGAAAGTCATGCATTCAGTTAAATTTTTTCAAACCTCAATTTATCAACATAAAATATATTTTATAAGATATCCACTTGTTTTTAATATAAAATTGCCTAAGGGCTTAAGTTTCATTGCCTTTCACAGTTTAATCTGTATAAGAAATGGCGTAGATACAGTGAAAATGGTTTTCCTTAAAACCATCTCTTTAAAGCTGCCTTTCTGGTGAGTACTGTTTTATACTTTTATATATCACAGTTTTTCCTTTTAAATTTAACTGAAACAGGACACTTTGACCAAAAGTGAGCAATCTGGATTTCTACACACTCTTTAGACATTACCTGAGTTGGGAATATTAAGAATAAGAAGGTGATTATTTTACTTCCTCTAGCATTTCCCTCATAATCTGGGCTAACTTTTTTTCTGACCTCCATTTAACAGACTATAACTACAAAAACTTAACACATAAATTATTTCCTTTTGGTGAGATGGAAAAGTTTTTACTCAAAACTGTCTAGCATTTACAATTCTTTTAAGCTGAAAATTTTCTTCTTAGTTGATAGCCAAAAGATTTTTCTCTATGCTTTTGGTTCCCATGTTGCATAGGTGTCAAATTTAAATACCAGGATTCCTGTCTGTTCTTGGTTGCAGCTCCTGTTGCAGTGATTTGTAGGCAGTTAAGCTGAGGGTGGGGTTGAAGGAGGGCTGGCCTAAAATATGGTTATGTGGGCTAATTGCTTACAGGATTCTCTTTGAGACTTGAAAATTGCCAATCTATTCTTTTAATTTTTGTTTTTCATGTACAGTTGACATTCAATATTATATTAGTTTCAGGTGTACAGCATAGTGGTTATATAATTTACAGTGAATTCCCCCTGATAAGTCTTCCAGTGTATTTTTAAATCACTCCTAATCTTGCATGAAAAACTTAGCTTAGAAATACTGATTTTTGGGACTTGTATACCAGTGAAAATTAGCTTCTCGTTATATTTTTAGTTATTTTATGCCCTGTTTAATACCTTCCTTTAGTGTAACACATGGATTTCTTCCCGTCTAGTCTTTAGCCACATCCTAGCTAGTGTCAGTAAATGCTAATGATGTTTCCATATTTTATCTCCTGCTGATCTTGGTAAACCAAAATGAAGAGTCAACTCTAATGCTTTTTAGTATGAACAATGATAGTGTTCTAAAATCTGAGAATTGATATCTGAGTATGTGATAATGGTGATGTATTCTTCTAGATAAGCACTAAACAAAGTATGGACCCCCAATTTATGTCTTTAAGATTTAAAGTGAAGTAAATTTCTAAGGAACTCTGTCCTTTCCTAGCAAGGATAAGCAGACATTGAAAATTTGGTAAGTATTTAACTTGAAATGCATGTGGTAGTGCTGAGAGTAAGTAGCCAAATTGCCATAGTTTAAGATAACATTTAGACATGAACAAGAATTTTCGACTCCCCTTTGCGACCTAATGTTATGTGTGTCTAGCAGCTTTATAAATTTGTGTGCAAAATAATTAAATTGAAATGTACCTTACCCCTTTATCTGGCTTTTCTTTTTCTTTTGTTTGGTGCTTTAAATACTAATGTTATATTTCAAGCTTTTTTCAGGGTAAAACTAAGTGGCTGGTAAAGAAAATACCTTCAAGAAGAATTATTTAAATATTTCTATTTAAAAACCCAGTGGTGACTTTCAGTTTACTTAAGCCTTCTGTTTTCCAGCACCAGTTAAAACTGACAGTAGGCAGCTGATCGCAAAAAGGGGGGGGAGGACCTTTGCTCTTTCTGGAATATTTGTAGGAATCACTGTATTACAGTAAAATGTCATTAATCCAATATGTGATTTTCATGGAAGCAGTGGTTTTTAAATTAAGAGAAAAAGGTGATGAGATTTGGACTCTCTCCTCTCTGGGACGTTGTATTAATAAGATAATAAATGGAAGTTGAAGTCAAAACGCTTAATTGCTACAGCAGGGAAGGTGATTTATTTCTGAGTAATATGTCCGTTTCTTTCCAAAATAGTAGAGCATTGTTTTGTGAAGCAGGACAAGATCCCAAAGGGTTGTAGGAACTAAATCCCTTGATTTAGTCTCCAGGCTTAACTCCAGCATTGTACTCGGCTAGGAGGGAAATGAAGATCCAGTCATGCAAGGGATATACGATGGTAAGGGGGACCTGAACAAAACAAACAAGGGAGGATTAAGGGCTAGACCATGTGTATGAGTAAATGGTCACTAAACAAAGAAGGTGTGACTAATAGAAATTGGGGAAGGGGACAAGCCAAGTTGTTTTTCTTCAATCTTCCTTGTGGAGAGAGCCAGTCGCCATCTGGCTTCCCGTTGGCAGCTTGTGGCCTCTAAGCTCAAGGTACCGAGTTCAATCTATAGTTGTGGGTGGCCATAGCCACCATCCCATGTGGGAGTCGAACCCGGCAGCCTTGTTGTTAAGAGCACACGCCCTATCCACTGAGGCATCCAAGTCACATGTGAGTCATCCAAGTCACATGGCTCAGCTTAAGGTGCGAAGTTCAGTCTTAGTTGTGGGTGGGCATAGCCCACCATCAAACAGGCAATCTTGTTACACCAGCTGTTACACCATCCTGCCACCTGTTGGCAGCTCAGTGACAGCTCAGCTGGGGCGCAGCATCAGTGGCCCATGTGGGAATTGAACCGGCGGCCCTGTTGCTCAGAGCTCGTGCTCTTCAGCCAACTCCTAACCAACTGAGCTAATTGTCCAGCCCTAATAGCATAATTTTTAATGTAAGTAAATGAAATCACTAAAGGTTGTAATTATTAGTTTTAAAATCATTAAAACTAGGAATACTTGCACTTTATGGAGGCTCATTCTAAAATAAAATTTTTTACACAAGTAATATTAGCACACTTGGTTACCTGGATGTATCACGTGGAAGCTAGTGCAGAAGAAAAATGAAATGGATCACATGTATAGTGTTTATGCTGAACTTTAGTCTCCTGGTAGGCTTTTGGGGGGAAGAGATGTTTCTTAGTGTATGGCACCATACGTAATTAGACTGGGACTTGGAAAAGGCACTGAAGTTATTTGTTTCTCTTTTGAGGTGGTCCAGTGGTGTTGGTTAGGCTTTAAAAAACCCAAACTACCATTTGAAAAATGATGTTTTATTTTCATGGCCTTAACGGTTTTCAGTTTGTGTTTTCATTCAAAAGGGGGATTATTTTTGCTTCTGCATTAAAAGCAAGCCTCTTTCCAAGATTATGGTTGACCATTAGCAAACATTTGAATGCCTGTTATTTACAAAGATGAATAAAAATTTTCATATATTATTTATGATACTTGTCTGAGACTGTTTTATTCAGTTGTATCTTGAACAATTTAGATTGAGAATGAATTACACTGATAATGCATCTGCTGTCTGGAATAGCTTTTGGTTTGCCTTGGGAAATATAAGGCAGAATTCTTTTTATTAAATATGAAGTGTGTATTGGAAGAAAGTATGTAAGGGGTAAGTGAAGATGTTTAGATTGCACATATATGGGGTGTATGTTAAAGTGTTAATTGACGTTCAACGGATAGATGGAACCAGAAGTAGAATAGTGGTTTAGGCTAAGTATAGAAGAGCCTGCCATCAGATTCTCCATCATTTACTAGTTTTAATGACCTTGAGCAAGTTCATTCTCTAGAATGGTGGTAATAAAATTCATAGGCTTAGGAGGAAAAGTTACTATATGTAAAAGAAGCCTTGTCAGACCAGTGAAATGACAGGAGAAGTTACTGAAAATTTAAAGATTTTATATAGTAAATTCATACAAATGCCTATTACATGCTTGGATACTATCCTATGTACAGATAGACAGGAAATGCATCTGAAAAGGGATCTTGAAGCTGAAGATTTAAGAAGCCAGTCCTTTCAGAAGGTCTTGTTGGGTAACAGTATTCTGGGCAGAAGGGATAGTAGGTGCAAAACTATGAGATGGGAAAGCTTAGCATTTTGGAGGAAAGACAACAAAAAAGGGGTGGATTGGGAAGGGAGTGTGTGAGTGCAGGATGGAAACAAATGGACCAAATCACAGGACCATGGTTGGGATTTTATTCTAATGGGAGTCATTGAAGGACTGAGCTGTTAAGTAATACATAATGGATGTTTTTTTAAAGCTCATTCTAAGTTGTGTGAGGGTGGTAGGTTGGTGGGTAATGTAGGGACTAGTTACAAGGCAAGAAGAACCCCGCTCAAAACAACGCAAGAGTAACGTGTTAGGAATTATTGACTGGGCGATAACTGGAGTAAGTGATGCCAACCCTCTAACATAAGCATAGTGAAAGGCAAAAAGATGTGAAAGTTAAACTTTTTTTTTTACACTTAGTCCTCACCTGACCTGTAAGACTTATTTAGGAAATGTTTACTGAGTAGTAAGACATTGAGAGGTTTAAACCGCGCGCGCGCACACGCACACACACACACACACACACACACACACACACACACACACACACACCCCCAGTCTGTCTTAGAGTCTATGAAGAAAATTCCCCAATGGAAGTCAAGTTTGGAGAAAACCGCCTGCATTGTGTTGGGAAAGATGGCATTTGAACTAGGTCTTGAAGGATTACTAGAATTTGGACAAAATGAAAAAAGTATTAGAGGAAGAACTGGAAAACAACAGAGGTATGTGAATGAAAGTTGTAAAAAATGGGATAAGATAATTTGAGACGAACATGTAAAAGTCCTTGAATGACGTTAGAGGTAACACATTTTCTCGGAATTGGAGTGCCTTTGATTTTAAGCATAAACTCTTAAGAGCTGTGGGGTTTGCAGACCACATCTCTTCAGAAGTGCCCAGAATCTACTCGCATTACAGAGCTTGCCACTGTTACAGAGGTTCATCACTACTGAGCTGGTGCTGTGGGATAGCAGTAGGATTCAGGAGCCATAATTGGTCTTGACTGCTATTGACTTGATCAAGTTAATACTAGAATTCCTTCTGTTCACCAGGGCCAGCTTAAAATGTTTTGGATGCCCTCCATACCTCAGGCTTGATGTTCCTTGGTCACCTTCCTATAAAATGCCTAATTTTTTTCTGCCATTTTCTCTCAATTGTAAGGCATTGCTCCCCTCCCTCAAAAAATGTCTGTTATGCCCCCCACAAGTCCTATGTCATAACTGAATCCCCCTCTATCTCTAGTCACGGAGCCTTCCTGAAACCTGGTTTTCAACCAAGGTAGTTTCTAATAGTTGTGTGAAGTGTGTGGTTCATTCTTCCAGGTTCTTGTACCTGTAGTTTGAGAAGACCAGTGAGATGCTCATTACCTTAAAAAAAATGAAGGCGTTATTTATAAACATTTGCTCCATTTGGCCTCGACATCTTTCGCCCCTGTCTAATCTGACTACTGGGAGTTCCCCTTCATTAAACTATTTGGTACATATGTAGTATAAAGTTTTTGAGTGATTGTTCTCTGAAGAATATTGGTTATAATGCCATAATAGTAAAGGCAGTCACACAACCTTGCAAATTGGTGTCTAACGATGTATAATGATACATTGTAGATGTATAACGTAGACCATGCATTTCAACCTTTGGTGGGTTCATGATACTGCAAAACATTCAAAAGGGTATAGTCACCTTTTCCATTCGTTGCACATCTCCAAATCTTTGTTTGCCTCCATCATCTCCCTGCCACTGCACATGGCGCTTGTCTGATGACTCTCTAATTCAAGGCCTTTTAGCTTTTACATACCATAATTGTTGGGTTGTCGGACAAGTCATGACGTCTTTTTTCTTTCCCAACAACCCAATACAAACCTGTATTTACACTCATTGCTTTAGACCCGGCGTCCTTTATAGTTAACCCCTTTTACTATGCTCTGGACCCCCGCCAGTCCTACCCTTTTTTTTTTTCTTTTTCTTTTTTAGGGCAGCTTTAGGTTTACAACAAAATTGAGGAAGGTACAGGGATTTTTTTCATACACTGTTAACCAGAATGGTACTTTTTTTTTTTTTTTTTTACCAAGGATGAACCTACACCAATACATCGTAATCACCCAAAGTCCATAGTTTACCTTAGGGTTCCCTCTTGGTGGTGAACGTTCTGTGGGTTTGGCTAAAAGAATGACATAACCATCACCATACAGGGTGTTTCACCACCCTGAGAATCCTCTGTGCTCTGCCTGTTCATCTTTTCCACTACCACCAGTGGCAACTAGGATTGTATTTTCTCCATAGTGTTACCTTTTGCAGTATGTCATAGTTGGGATCAGTATATAGCCTTTTCAGATTGTCTTTTTTCACTTGGTGATGATGTGCATTTAAGGTTTCTCCATGTCTTCATGGCTTGATAGCTCATATAATTTTAGTACTGAATAATAATGCATTGGACGTACCAGTTTATCCACTCACTTAAGGACATCTTGGTTTCAGGTTTGAGCAATTATGAGTGGAGCTGCTATAAACATCTGTGTGCAGTTTTTTGTGTGGATATAATTTTTCAACTCTTGGGTAAATGCCGAGGAGTGCAATTGCTGGATTGTATGATAGTTTAGTTTTGTAAGAAATTCCCAAGTTACCTTCCAA